ATCCCTCGCCACTCTTAAAATTCTCTCTTTATCTTTGGTTTTGGCAAGTTTGATTATAATATGTCTTGGTGACTTTCTTTTGGGATCTACCTTATGTGGGATTCGATGAGCATCTTGGATAGATACCTTGTCATCTTTCATGATATCTGGGAAGTTTTCTGCCAACAAATCTTCAACAGTTCTCTGTATTTTCTGTTATCCCCCCTGTTCTGGTACTCCAACCACTTGTAGGTTATTCCTCGTGATAGAGTCCAACATAATGCTTAGAGTTTCTTCATTTTTTTAAATCCTTTTATCTGAGTTTTCCTCCAATAATTTGTTGTCAAGTGCTTTATCTTCAGTCTCACTAATTCTGACTTCCATTGCCATAATTCCTCTCCTATGACTTTTTGTTGAGTTGTCTAATTCTGAAATTTTATTGTCACTCTTCTGGATTTCTGATTGCTGTCTCTCTATGGATTCTTGCAGCATGTTAAATTTGTCATTATGCGCTTCTCTAATCTTTTTAATTTCTCTATTGCGTGTTCTCTGTTTTGATTAATTTCCTTCTTAATTTCTTGAAGAGTTCTGTAGATTAATCTTTTGTATTCTGCCTCCGCTAATTCTAAGAAATTTTCCTCCTCTGGAAAATTTCTAGATTCTTTATTTTGGGAGCTTGCTGGAGCTGTCATGGATTACCTCTTTATATGATTTGATATTGACTGTTGTCTCTGAGCCATCAATAAGTTATTATATTTATTTATTTTATGTTTGCTTATTGTGTCCTAGCTTCTTGTTTTATTTTGATATGCCCAAATAGGCTGCTCATTTGAGCTCGTTTGATTATTGGCACCTTTGCTCTAATGTCCTGTTACCAGGTAGTTAGATCTGTTACTAGGTGTATGAGCTTAGGAGTCCGCCCACTCCTCCTATATGGATTCAGCTCAGGTGCCCAGGTAGATAGCCCCTAAGTGTGTGGTGCAGGCTCTCACTTACAGTCCTAGACAGGCATGAGTGATTGGTGTAGGCACAGGTATCTGGCTGCACTGAGGGGACACACATTGAGCAAGGCAGGGGACTGAAGGCTGCCCCTGAGTGTTGAAGAGGAATGTGTTTCCCTGTTCCCTAGAGTGCATAGGTGGGTAGGTTTTGCAGCTGGATTATGAGCACCCAATGCTGTTGGCTGTAAGGACTGAGGGGCACCTCTTATTCATGGGCCCCTCTTACAGGTGGCAGGGTGACATGGGTGGAGCCACCAGTTCTCAGCCTCCTTTTGTGGATAGTGAAGTCCCTGCTTAATGGGCAGAGCAGTGTCAAATGTCAAGAACCTGCCACTTCACAGCTGAAACAGTTGAAGTTAGACTTCCAGTGTATACCCTGTTGTATTATGGTAATGAGGGCCTACACTGTTGAGATGGGCCCGCATAAGTCCATGCAGGGGGAGAGGCACTGAAAGGTCATGGACCCCTTATGCCTGTGCCTAGGGAAAGGAGTTGTGCCTACCCTAGGTTCCTGGCTTATGGCAGCCGGCAGTTTATTTTTTCCCGTTTGTTAATTCACTCTCCAAGGCAGGGAGAATGGCTCCGGGCATGTGACGGCTCCTACTTCTGGCCCAGGGTACTCGGCAATTGCTGATGCCAGTCCGGGACCCAGTGCAGAGCAGGGAGCAGGGAGGTAAATGGGAGAGAGATTTTTCCCTAAGGGTGGTGTTTTTGATCCGTGCGGTAAGCTGTACATAAGTACTTATCTCTGTTGATGGCTGCTTCTCATTGGTTCTGGGTGGCCGTGTAGAATCTCTGTTGCTGGGTCTCTCCCGGTGTGGAAAATGCGCCTCCCGAGCACGGCTGCTTGCCTGCCTTACTGCTCACCCCTGAGCTGATCAGGCCTGAAGGGCTCAGGCTCTTACTGGGTCAGGTCTGGCAGCTCCTTGCTGCTTCTGAACCGTCTCTCCCTCCCCCTGCCACTGAGTCTAGTTCCTCAACTCTGCCTTTGATGTTCAGGGCTCCCAGATTGCCATATATAATCAAATCAGTTATTTTTTCGGGTCTTCGTTGTAAGAGGGTCCACTGGATGCCTCTGACTACTCCGCCATCTTGCCCCTGCCTCCTATACTTACTTTCTTATAGTGTATCCTAATATTTCATTGCTTATTTGTGGGAATGTTTCAGTAGGATAAATTTGTAGAAGTGGAAATACTCGACCAAAGAAAGGATATGGCAATTAAAATTTAAATAGCTTTATTAACTAGGTATTGTCCAATAACTAAAACAGTATTGAAAGTATTAAATTTTTCTATTTCTCTAAAGCCTGAGCAACAATGGAATAATTTTGCTTTATCAGTCTGACAAGCAAAATATAATATTTTAATGTATAGTTCTTTGAGAATTAAGTTTTTTCTTTGGTTTGTTGTATATTTGTTTCTAATCTGTGCGTTCCTTTTTATATTCCATTTTCTCTTGGCTTAATCACTGCTGAATTTATTTTTAAGAGTGCTTTTGTATTATAGATATATCTATAATTTAATAGAAAAGTAATTTCTTCCAGCTTTTTGTTTGCTGTTTAGTTTTGCTTGTGGCATCTTTACTTATTTAGTAGTTTTGTATTTTTATTTAATCAAAACTTTAAATCTTTTTTTAGGGCTTCTGGGTTATGAGCAATGCTTAGAAAGGCTTTTCCTACTCCAAGATTATAAAAATATTTTCCTATACATATTTTATTCTAATACTTTTATACTTACAGTTTTAAAAATCCACCTAGACTTTATTTTATTGTATCATCAGTAGAAATCTTACTTTTTTTTCCTCATGGTAATATCTAGTTGTCCCAGTATAACTTTTATTTAATAATCTATCCTTTTCTCGATTTAAGCTGTCACTTTTAATCAAATACTAAGTTTTTATAGTGCCTAGGTCTATTTCTGGAATTTGTATTACGTATGTTTAATGTAATCATCTGTTCTTACATGAGGATCCCACTTTTTTGCTTTTCTAGTTTTAACAGTATATATTACTATATACATAAATACTGTAATACATATGTATTACAGTTATTTTTCAATATTCGTCTTCATTATCTTCTCTTTTTAAACGCTTCTTGCGGTTCTTATGTATTTATGTTTCTGGATAAACTAGTAAACATTTAAAAAAATTCCGGAGGCTAAGAAATGTGTGGAGATATGCTCTCTCTCGTTCATAGTTAAAGGAATGAAAATCAAAACAACAATTGTATTTTTCAACTATTAGATTGGCAGAAATTAAATAGTTGATGATACCTAGAATTCTCATAGATATTGAAAAATCAACACCTTCTGCTTTGTTGATAGAAGTATAAATTGGTTTGGAGGACAATTTGATAATTTTTCTATGTAAATTAAGAACTCATACACTGAGCATTTTCGCTGCTAGTAATTTATGGTACATATATCTTCGCAAAAGTATGCGAAGATAGATGTTCACTGTAGCATTGTTTTATAATAGCAAGCAACAATATCAATAATAACATACCTAAAAAAATGAAAATTACTTAAACGTATAGTTAGGTTTGTTATACTATAGCACATCTATAAAATGGAGTCTGAAATGACTTAGGTAGATCTGATATGTAAATAAAAATTGCAAACGTTAAGTACTGTAATCACTTTTGTGTGAATGAAAAAGATGTTTATGTACACAAATATACTGAATTGTGTAAATGTTTTTTTTCCCCTGAAAGAGTATGTAAGAAAGTTAGCAGTAGTTACTTTCATGCAGAGGACTGTGGGTGGTGGTGGTAGGAGAAAACTTTTACTTCTTAATTTACAGCTTTCTGACCTGTTTGAATTTTATTTATAGAAGAGTGTCCACAACCTTGAATTTTGAGCCATTTTTCATTTTTTTATGCTTTTCATAATTAAAAAAAATTCCAATGGAATTCTGATTGTCGTTTCATTGACTGTAGAATAATTTGGGGAGAATCAAGACTTTTACGATATTGACTATTCCCATCCACTAGTATGGCATATTTTTTTATTATTCAGGTTTTCTTTTATGTGCTTGAACATTTTATAGTCTTTTTTATGTTATCCTTAACTATTTATTGATAAATTTGTTTCTTGGATATTTTAGCTTTAATTTCTATTGTGAACAAGATTTTTTTAAATTATATTTTCTAGCTGATTATTAACAGTTGCTTGAAAGTTGTTGATTTCCTTGTGATTATTTTATATTTTGACATGTCACAAACTTTTTTAGCTTAAATAGCTTTTCAGTGGATTCACTTGGGTTTTCTGGTATACAATTATGTCATCTTATAATACTTTAAATTTTTGTTTCAGATTCCTCAGTTCCTTTTAGATGATTGCTTCAAAAATGGTATCCCCTGCCGTATATTTTGTACTCAACCAAGACGATTAGCAGCAATTGCTGTGGCTGAAAGAGTCGCTGCAGAGAGAAGAGAAAGGATTGGTCAGACAATTGGATATCAGATTCGATTAGAAAGCAGGTAAAGAATCCTCCTGTAGTTTTTTATCATGCTTAGAAAAAGCTAAACATTTACATTTAATACTCAATATTTACATTTCACATTTAAAAATAGAGTCTGTGTTAATCAAAACGTTAGATGATCATTTTGCTGCAGTTATCAGGATACAGAGGTGATGTCTAAACTCAATGAGTTTTTTGAATAAGTATTGTTTGAAGGTATGATCAAAGCTTAAGAAAACTAAGTTATTGTTTTTCTTCTTTTTTAAAAAGCTGTACGTTGATAGAGTTTAATAAAGTAGTAACATTTAGGAGAATATATTTTATATAGTTTAAGTTCCAAAATGACATCTCATCTGTTACCCATTTAAATTTGTGAAGCTGAAGAACTGATCATCACAATAATTGAGTATGTGAATATTCAGGGAATAGTTAAAAGCTTGGGCCAAAAATACAAATTCCATTTCATAGTTCACAATTAGTGCAAGTTACTTCACCTCTTTGAGCTTCAGTTTCCTCATCTAAAAAATTAGGCTAATAAAAGCGCCTAGAGCACAGGTTTGATGTGAAATTTAAAGTAAGCACTCGGTAAATGTTAGTGACTGAATTTATTATTAGTAGTAATGATACGAAGGAGTCCTGGTGGCACAGTGGTTAAGCACTCGACTGCTAACTGAGAGGTCAGTGGTTGGAACCCACCAGCTGCTCTTCGGGAAAAAGATGTGGCAGTTTGCTCCCATAAAGATTTACAGCCTTGGAAATCCTATAGGGCAGTTCTAGTCTGTCCTGTAGGGATGCTATGAGTTGGAATGGACTCAACAGCAGTGGGTTTTGTTTTTGAGGGAGTTTAGTAATGGTATTAGTAATATCTACTTGACAAATAGTACTATTGTGCTCTCAGTAGTTTGGATGTAGTGATTCAAAAAGCTGAATTGTGTAAACCATTCACTTACAATGTAGTTTTTCCCCAAGCAAAAAGTGTTTGTCTCTTTTTAAAAAAATCTGTTTAGGTTCTTTGACAAAAAGCTGTTTGAAATACAGTGAAACCTGGGAGAGCTGGAACTCAACAGGACTGCCTACTTTTTTCGGGTCTGCAAGTTTTCTGCCTTTGACAGGGTGGAATACTTTTCTATTGCTTGTTTTAGTGGAAAGTATCTAGTACAAAATTTTTGAGTTTTTCTTCTCTGACAGGTTTCTACCTTATACAGGTTCTGGCTTTCACAGATTTTACTGTAATAAATTTATGAATTTGTCAGGCATAAAATACATATTTCACATAACTATGCTAATAAACCATATATACCAACACACTATTATATTAGTAACATTTATTAAAGTACCTATAAGACCAGTATTTAATGTGATCATATTTTAATTACCTAAAAGATTTGTAGTTGTCCACATTATTTTGATTTTTTTAAAAGGGTTTCTCCAAAGACACTTCTGACATTTTGCACCAATGGAGTATTGCTTCGCACATTGATGGCAGGAGATAGTACATTGTCAACTGTGACACATGTTATTGTGGTAAGAGTATTGTTGAAAATTTTCCATATATAACTCAAATTGCTTATTTATAGGCATGATTAAAATTTAAGCAATTACATTTTTAGAATAGAGTATACATGAGAAGTGACTTACTCTTTTCAACAACTTAACTATAATCAAGTTATTTTTTGTATATAGTTATTAGAAATGTTTTGCATTAACTAATGATATTCTTACTATCAGGCTTATGGGGGGAAATAAAATTAAAAGGTAGTTTTTCAAAACTGTACATTTTATATATGAAAATGATTAATGTACTTAGAGTTCTCCAGAAATGGTGAAAGTTTTCTTTTTTTCTTTATAGTCGTCTGATCCCCGTTTAGTATTCTGTATTTCCCAGTATTAGGGGTACATTTCATAAGTTATTTAACTTAATGGTTAAGCTGCTGATAAAGTTCATGAAATAAGTAGATCAATTACCCCCTTATTAAAGAATTTTTAAGCTTTTATACAGTTTTTCAGAAAAAAAACCTAGATTAAGTTTTATAAGCTTGCAGAAAGCAGCTGTTAGTACCTTAATAGCTCTGTGTCTTGCATCCACAGGATGCACTTGAACCTGATAACAGAAGCATATTTAGATAGATTTTGTATATATGAAAGCTACATTAAATTAGACTTCACTAATACAGAATTTGCTGTAGTTTCTGTGGTTTTATGTCCTGTAGAAAATAAAGGCAGAACTTTATTATCCATAGTAGTTTTTTAATGTCTGATTATTTCTGAATTAATTTTCACTTATATTGATTGGCTTTGTCCACATTTAATTTGAATGAGTATAAAATCCAGCAGCTCCATTATTTCAAAGACTTTCGTTTTATTTTTGTTTATTGCAGGATGAAGTACATGAAAGGGATCGATTTAGTGATTTCTTACTTACAAAGCTAAGAGATCTGTTGCAAAAGCACCCAACTTTGAAACTAATTCTTTCCAGTGCTGCATTGGATGTAAATCTCTTTATAAGATATTTTGGAAGTTGTCCAGTGATATATAGTAAGTTAAATTTCTCGTAGAAATTTATGAAAGAACAAATTTTGGTATGATTATGTTTATTCTAACATAAGTTGGGAAATATTTTTAGGTAGAGGTCATCCATTTTTGTTTCCTTTGAGACACGGCTTCATTAGTCATCTCTTAATATTTCCACCGTCTATTTTTCCATCTACAACTCTCTGATACTGTGTAGTGAGCCCAGGACCGTAGTCTTAAAAAGAAATGTCTTTTATTTGACCCTGTATTCCCACTTAAATTCTTCCTTATGGCTTCTTGGCTTTATTTCCAGACTCCTTGAAAGAGTAGTCTCTACTCCTGTGTTTACTTCCCATTCACTTCCAAATATGCTGCTACTTAACTTTTTCCCTTGCCTTTTAACAAAAACTGCTCTTGCCACTAACTTTATTTATTTATTTTATTGTACTGTAGATGAAGGTTTACAGAGCAAACTAGCTTCTCATTAAACAATTAATACATGTATTGTTTTATGACATTGGTTGCCAACCTAACGACTTGTCAACACTCTCCCCTTCTCGACCTTAGGTTCCCCATTTCCAGCTTTCCTGTCCCCTTCTGCCTTCTCATCCTTGCCCCTGGGCTGGTGTGCCCATTTAGTCTCGTTTTGTTTTACAGACCTGTCTAATCTTTGGCTGAAGGGTGAACCTCAGGGATGACTTCTTACTGAGCTAAAAGAGTGTCTAGGGGCTGTACTCTTGGGGTTTCTCCAGTCTCTGTCAGACCAGTAAGTCTGGTCTTCTTTTTTTTTTTTTGAAGTTAGAATTTTGTTCTACATTTTTCTGCAGCTCTGTCCGGGACCTTCTATTGTGATCCCTGTCAGAGCAGTTGGTGGTGGGAGCCAGGAACCGTCTAGTTGTGCTGCACTCTGGTGGAGGCTGTGGTAGTTGTGGTCCGTTAGTCCTTTGGACTAATCTTTCCCTTGAGTCTTTGGTTTTCTTCATTCTCCCTTGCTCCAGACGGAGCTTGCCACTAAACTTTAAAAAACTGTTTTATTTTATTAAGTTCCTCTTCAAAAGATTGTAAACTTTGTGTTCATCTCAGTGAAATTACATAAAGATATACATAGAAAGAGTTAATAATCACCTCACCCTCTTTTTATTCTATGTTCTTTCCTAAGGTCACTGATATTAAACACCTGGTGCATATCCTTTTTTACTTTTTCCATGCTTATACAAACATACAAAAATATATACACATCCATAGGGTTTTAAAAAATTAGTTTTACAAAAATAGGCACATACCTTATGCATTATTTTGCTATTTGTTTTATTCATGTGACAGTATACCATGGACAGTCCTCCAGTTCGGTAGCTCTAGATCTAGTTCATTCTTTTAAGCAGCTACTTTAAAATTTCATAATATGGATGTACCATGATTTATTTAATCATTCTTTTATTTTTGGACATTCAGTTGGTTCTAGATTCTCCCTATCCCCAACTATAAGTAATGTCATAATGAACACCATTGTATGTATATCCTTATATACTGGTGCTCTTATTTCTAGGGATAGATTCCTGAAAATGAAATTGCTGAGTAAAAGAAGATACCTGTTTTTAATTTTAACTGCTTTTGCCACTTTTTCAAAAGGCTGAAACAGTTCACATTTCTGCAGTATACAGAGGTATTCATTTGTGTATTTTTACCAGCATTGTTTTGACCTCTGATAAAATTGCCAAGACTAGTATTAAATACTTAAATTTCCAGTAGTAGTTTTCATTGTTGCCCCTCCCCCCTCTCTTTTTTCAATGCTCAGATCCCATTAATGTATTTGACAGCACTGCCTCTTGAGTCTCATTCTACGTTATAGCCTACATTTTCTCAGTCTCCTTTGTGGCTTCTCTTTGAATGGTGCTTAAATATTCCTTTGATCCATTTCTTTTTCTGTTTTCTGCTTGCTTTCCCTCCCTCCCTTCCTTTTTTTTTTTTTCCTTCTTTCATGTTCGGTGCCGCACTGTGCTAGGCACTGGAGATGAACAGTTCGTCTCCCTGGAAGCGCTCATTCATGCCCTTAGCTTCTATCTTCTCTTTTATACTGATGATTCTGAATCTTTTATGTTCAATTAAGACTGTTCTGCAGAGCTTTGGACTTAGATGTTTTACAAACAGCTTGCTTTCAATATGCCTCAAATTGAATAGGTTATCTTTTGTACAAAACCTGTTTCTTGTGTTGCCTGTCTTGGTTACTCATATCAGTGTAGCCACTTAATTCACTAACTTCAAAGTCCTTAAATTCTTCTAACATTCTTGAGTGATCAGGCACCTAAAATCTAGTCATCTGTTGAATTTACAGATGGCACCTCATATTCGACATGTTTATAATCAGCCAACCTCTTCCTCTTTCAGTATTCTTTGTTACATCAGTGAATGATTCACGATTCATCCAGTTTTGCAAGCCAGAAATTCAAGAACAGTAGTTGACACTTCCTTCTTTGTCAATCTTCCATGTCTAATCCACTGCTGAGTTCTGTGGATTTTATCTCCTGTCTGTCTCTAGAATCTGTATGCTTCATTTGCATTTTTAATGTCAATATTCTCATTCAAGTTATTGTCATCTTTTACCTGAACTATTGCAGTAGCTCCTACATGGTCTGTCCCTATCCACTCTGCTTTCTTTTAAGTCCATTCTCCACACTGCAGCCAGAGTTATCTTTTCTTAAGTGTAATCAGATGATGTTGAGCACTTTCTTGAGTTTACAATTTTTGAGTGACCTTTATCTCAGGACAAAGACCTAAACCCTTAATAAGACTTACCTGTCTCTCCTGCCTGTCTTGAACTGTAATCCCCTCCTGTCCCTCTCCCCCTGCCCCCACCATCTTCCACCTATGTTGGCTTTTGAGTTTCTAGAAAACGTCATACTCTTTCCCATTACATCGACTTTGCCCATGCTGTTTTCTTCTTCATTGCATACTCTTTCCTTTCCACATAACCTAGTTATTCTGTTCACCCTGTTTAGTCCTCATTTTCTCAATGTGGATGCTTTTCTGGACTCAGGCAGTCCCCCTATTATATTTTATCGTGGTATATTGTGCTTCTGTCTCATAGGACTTTTTACAACTCTAATTTTATATTTATATTCAGCATTACTAGATTAATGTCTGTCTTCCCTGCTAGCTTGCAAGCTTCAGGAGGGCAAGAGGAGGTAGCGCTGTTCCTGCTTACCATTCGTATTCATGGTGCCTAGAATGATGCCAAACATGATGTATAGATAGTAAACACAGGAAAAAAAATAAGAGAATTAACAGTTGTTTAAAATAAATATCAAAGTTATAGGACACTTATGTGGATTACTTGAAGTATGAAATTGCTTTTGGATTTTATAGTCAGGCTTATTAATTTTGGAGTCTCATGTTTTTATGTGAATTATCTCTAAGATGCAAATTGACTGTTTTTTAAAATTCCTATTATTTAGTACAGGGAAGACCATTTGAAGTAAAAGAAATGTTTTTGGAAGATATTTTAAGAACCACTGGATATACAAATAAAGAAATGTTAAAGTATAAAAAGGAGAAACAGCGAGGTAAGCTTTTTATGAAATAAATTAATATTGATAGTGACTTTTTTGAATACTCCAATTTTATACTGTGGAGGTGGAAGGACACTTTAAAGTGTTTTTCTCTTGTGTATAATTGTATACATTGTATTAGAATATTATCCCAAATGTATCTTTTGATGAGTTCTACTTTATAGCTTATGGCCATAAGTTAAGATCTATAGAGAGGAATTGAAAGTGAATGCCAGAGTTGGGATTCTAAGTGTGTCCATATCCAAAGATTCAGCCACTGTTTTAAGGGGGCAGAAGAGTATGTGAGTATGTGCTGACTGCCCACAGCATATTTCACAGGACAGGGGCAGAGAATGGGTGGATGGGGATGAAAAGAGTAGTATGTGAGCAATAACACTGAATCAGGTTTTCAGTGTCTTGGTTTTGTTATGGGATTGCATCTGTACTTTGAATTTAGCATTATTTGCCTATTAATACATCACTTATAATGACTTATACTCTATCTTGGCTTTAGAATTAGGGTTTAGATCCCTTTGCTTACTTTTAACTATATTACTCATGATAGAAGACTTGGCTTCAAGCTTTGATTGCCTTATTTGCTCAGAATGACCTTGGACAAAATACCTTGGCTACTTTCTGTCTTGGAGTCTCACACCTCTTGAAAAATGTAGTTGGCAAAACCTATTTCATAGGGTGGTGCTGGATCACTGATATGTAAATTATAAAACTCTTAGATCTTGAAGCTTTTCAAGATGAAAATTGTATATTACTTGTATCTCAAGTAACTAGCATAGTGGCAGGAGTTCAGTAAATGGTTTACTACGAAGTGTTATATGAATATTAGTCATTGATTTAAAAAATATAGCACAGTCAGTGCTTGGTTCCCACAGGGGATTGGCTTCAGGACCTTCCCCCTTCCCCTCCTCGTGAATACCAAAATCCAAGGATGCTTAAATCCCTTATATAAAAAGGCGTAGTACTTGCATATAACCTCTGCACATCCTCATATACTTTAAACTATCTCTAGATTACTTAAAATACCTAATACAATGTAAATGCTGTGTAAATAGTTGTTAATGCTTACACGTAACACTTAATGCTTCCCCTCCCCACCCACCCCCAAATTTTTTCGATCCATAGTTGGTTGAATCCACAGATTTGGAACCCATGGATATGGAGGGCTGACTGTATAGCTAAAAATATTCTCATTTAAATTATGGAATTACTTAGAAGTCGACTTCTTACTAATAGGTGAAAAGATGAAGATTTTAAGTAGTTTCATGTGTTATTATCATTCAGCATAACGTATTTTATTGACTGCTCCTAATTAATATGTTTAAAAAAACAGTAACCTGAAAGTAAGGCCAACTTTTAAGTACCATCAGACTCACTTAATTTTTTTAAAACAAAGGAATATACTTCAGAAGGCCAATATTTTATCTTTTGTTTTTTCTTTGATAATCTTTTAGAAGAGAAACAACAAACTACGCTTACAGAATGGTACTCAGCTCAGGAGAATACTTTCAAGCCTGAGTCTCAGAGGCAGAGAACTGTTCCAAATGTGACTGAAGAATATGACTTATTAGATGATGGTGGTGATGCTGTCTTTAGTCAGTTGGTAAGACGTCCGTGGTTTCATTGTTTAATTTAATTTAATTTAATTTAATTTCATTGTTTAATTTAAAGAACATTTTGTGAGATTATAATTTTTTAATGCATACTTAGAGGGTAATTCTATTAGTTTATTTTAGACTATAGGCAGTCCCTGCATTACGAATGAGTTCTCTTCCTAAGTCTGTCTTTAAGTCGAATCTGTATGTAAATCAGAACAGTTACATATGGTTTGTATCTCACATCAGTTAGTCAAATGTTTGTCTTACTATTTAGTATATAGTGTACCTTTCTGTGCATAAAAAACATGAAAGAAACACTTGCAGATACACAAAAACATCTTTAACATAATAATACAGTAATGATAATGTTTTGATGCATGTTGCAAAGTAGCACCTGCTTGTTATTACGAACCATTTTATGTACCTTGAAGTTTTAATATAATACAGGCATTCCCTAGGTTATGAACATCCAACTTATGTACAACCCATTATGAACTAACCCCTGTAAAGCCTATTATTTAAAAAATTTGAGGTGCATACGATTGTAGTAACAAACGACGCTACTTTGTGGTGTGCATCAAAAACATTATTATTACTGTATTATTAAAGATGTTTTAGTGTATCTGGAAGTGTTTGTTTCGTTTTTTATGCATAGAGAGGTACACTATATACCATATACTAAAGAGACATTTGACTGATGTTAGATATGAACCATGCTAAACTGTCCCGACTTACGTACAAATTCAACTTAAAGACAGATTTAGGAACAGAACTTGTTCGTAATCTAGGGACTGTCCGTAGGCTTTACAGGGCTTGGTTCATAACTGTGGGTTGCATGTAAGTCGGATGTTCGTAACCCAGGGACTGCCTGTACAACACGTTTTTCAGAACAACTTTCTAGACACTTTTTAGAAAAAACTACTTTTGTGCAGGAGATGGTACATCCTGCAGATATGCTTGCAGTTTTCTACCATGGTTTAAAGTATGAATGCATACAGATGAAATATTCATGAGCTTTTAAACATACTTTTGAAGAATATTTTAAAATTGCTATTTAGCATAGGGAAGACTCGTTAGGTTCAACAAAAACCATTTTGACCACATGAATTAGTGATTCTTAAGCCTGGCTGCACATTAGCATCACCTGAGGAGAGTTGACAGCTCTGTGGAATCAGGAATCTGGCCCCCACCACAGGAGAGTCTGATATACTTGCTCTGGGCTAGTACCTGGCATGAGTGTGAAAACCTCCAGATGGTAACTCCCTCTGATGTAGAGTTGGGAGAGAGAACTGCTCGTGTAGCCATGCATTTATCAGCATTCTATCAGAAGCACATTTATTTAATATTGTGACTGGATTGTAGTCCTTTGCTGACAAGCTTTTTCTCAGATAAAAGACGAATGTAAGAAAGAGAGATAGTATTGTGAGTGATAATGTTAGAAAAAACATAATGAAATTAGAAATTTTTATGTCAAACCCTTTGTTATCATATGATTAGTAGTTTTTGTGGCCATATCAGTGTTTGCAAGTGAGTGTTAAGCTGTTAGGTAATTTATAATCTTCACATTTGTTTGTTTTAAAGACAGAAAAAGATGTGAATTGCCTTGAACCATGGTTAATAAAGGAAATGGATGCTTGTCTTTCTGACATATGGCTACATAAAGATGTTGATGCCTTTGCTCAGGTCTTTCACCTTATTTTAACTGAAAATGTTAGTGGTAAGTTTAATTTATTAAAAAAAAATTATGACTCTTGCTGTTACTTATGGTGGAAGTGTAGTTTAAAAAAAAGTATTTACTACATTTTTTGTTCACAACCAATAATTTGTTCTTTTGAGTACTTATGTTATTTCAAATGCACAAATCAGGATCTTATTAACATAAAAGAATAAGTAAATATTATGCTAAATCAAGAATTTTTAACCTCTAGTCTCCGGAATAATTTTATGAAGTCTTTGAATCCGTGACAATTATGTGCAAAAATCCTTTTTTTATATATGTGCCTGCACATATACTTCATTTCCCCACTGACACCCTAGGGAGGGGATCTTTACTTTTCTTTGGATTCTCAAAAGATTTGTGGTTTCAAAAAAGGAAGGGGGGAATAAAACTTTTGCTCTAGATTATTCATTTAATAAATGAAAATGTTAGTATATTTCAGTTATATGAGCTCAAGTTCTAATTCACATGTACATACTTTGTCATGTGACATGTTTTCACTAATGAGAGTTAACCTGATTTTTGGTAGTTGATTATGGGGGATATTAGCGATCAGGTGAATTTCAGAACCCTGAAGGCTTCTCTGCAGAAGGCAAAATGAAGGATCATAGGTCACTACTGGAAAGGATACAGATGTAAAGTAGTTTATTCCCTTGCCTAAACCTCTCAGCAGTATTTGACATAGTTGATCACTTCCTTCTTGAAACATTTTCTTCAATCAACTTCTGATATCCACACCTGCTGATTTTGTCCTCCTCTCACTGGCTGCAACTTTTTGGTTTATTTAACAAGAAAAAAAAAAAATCTTTTTCTTGATCTCTATATTTGGAATGCTCCACTTGATCTCTAAATTAGGAATGCTCCAGGATTCAATTCTTAAACCTTATTTCTATCTATGCTTATTCCCTAGATGGTCTCCTCTAGTCACGGCTTTATCTATTTAAAATAACTCCTAATTTTACATTGTCAGTCTTGACCTCTCCTCTGACTTCCACACACCTGATTACTTCACATCTCCAGTTGTGTGTCTATTGGATGAATAAAGCTGGATATGCCCCAAACAATTTTTGATCCCTTTCCTGCCTTCCTCACTCTCAACCTGCTCTTTCCTTAGTGTTACCCTTTTCAGTACATGGCACTACCATTCACCTAGTTGCTCAGGCAGCAAAACATGAAGTGATTCTTGACTTTACTCTCAAACCCAACATTCAATTCATTAGCAAATTCTGTTGGTTTTACGTTCTAAATAAATCTTGAATCTGACCACATCTCACTTCCCCTACTGCTGCCATCTTAGTCCAAGCCAACATTTCTCTCCTGGACTATTGCAGTAACCTACTAACTGCTTCTATTCTTGTCTAACTGTAGTCTGTTCTCTATAGAACAAGCTCATTGATCCTTTCAAAAAGGAAATTAGATTATTAGCTTATGCTACTTCCCAGCTCTCAACCCTCTCATGACTTTCCCTTAGGCTTTGAATAAGTCAAAGTCCTTTTCATAGTTTGATCCCTGGCCTCCTTTCTCATGTCATTCTCTACCACTTTTTCCTTTGTTTGCTATGTTTTAGCCGCACTTATTTTCTGGCTGTTCCTCATATATACCAGCACATTCCCATCTTTAGACCTTTGCTTTTGATGTTTCCTGTGCCTGGAATGCTGTCCCTGCAGTCCCCACAGATACTCATAGAGTCCACTGCCTTACTTTATTTAAGTCTCTACGTAGATATTGGCTTCTCAGAGAGGCCTTTTCTAATTACCTTTCTAAAATGGCACTCTTTTCTCGCTACCCTGCTTTATTATTTTTTTATTGTACTTTCATTACCTCATAGCATGTATTTCTCATTTTTTCAACTACTTTTCACCCACTAGAATGTAAACTACCTGAGGACAGAAACCTTGTCGTTTTACTCATTTCTGTATTCCCAGGGGTTCATAGTAAATGCTCAATAATTATTTGTTGAATAACGGTATAACTTCTAAATATAAATGATAATCTGTTTGAACGTGTTTAGTGACAGAAGCTCACTACCTTTCTTGAGGACATTCATTTGAATTTGGATTGTTTAAATTGTTGATTTTTTAAAATATTTTGATCTGAAATCTACTTATATAGCTTCTACCTTTTTCTGCTTTTGGGGTGATAATTGAAGAGATTTAGTGTCTGTTTATGCCTGATAGACCTTCAGGTATAATATCTGTTATTTCAGCTATTCCTCTTTACCATGACATGATATACAGTCCCCTCCTACCCTGGTCCCTCTTCTCTAGTAATGTTCTAATTTGTTCCCCTTAAAAAGCATGGTGTCTAGTCCTAAGTGTTAATCTCTTAGTGACCAGTTTAGGGTAGGCCTATCAGCCTAGGGCCACTATGAGTCGGAATCAACTCAATGGCAATGGGTTTGGTTTTTTTTTAAATCAGCCTAAAAACCTCTAATTTAGCCCATGATCATTATAGCTCTTTGCCACCCACATTGTGTTACTGATTCATATTATCTTTCAAATTCCTAATTCTTTTTTTTCCCCATATGTGATTTTATTAAATTAATCCTCTCTGTTTTATACTTCCAACTCGATGGCAACGAGTTTTATCTCTTATACTTAAGAAGCTCTGGTGGCACAATGGTTAACCTTTCTGGTTAGCAGTTCTTATCCACTAGCCACTTCTTGGAAACCCTAATGGGCAGTTCTACTCTGTCCTATATGGTCGCTATGAGTTGGCAACGGGTTTGGTTTTTGTTTTTTTATCTTATACTTGTTGCTTTGAAATTTTTGAGCTTAAGACATTCTATTTATTTGTTTTAAGTTTCATTTTGTAGTTAGATTTGGGTCATTGTTTTGGCTTAAGAACTTTTTTTTCAGTTCTAATTATTATCTAATATATCAACAGACTTTCTCAGTTTATTAATTTGAGGGGCTTGGGTCAATGATCAAGCACTGTGGTATGCTAAAAGAGGCCTTAGGCCAAAATTCTCTGGGTGTGGTCATTCAAGCAGTTGTTAAAGCAGAAAGAGATAAAGCTCTTTTGGCATATATTGTTCTTTGTCTTAACACTATGAGGCATATACTACCATCCCTATTTTGCAGATGAGGAAACAGAGTTCAGAGAGTTTAACTTGCTCACAGTCCCACAGCTAATCAATGATTTATGCCCAGGCAATATGTGTACTCTTTTTTTTTTTAATAGCTGCTTTATTCTTTTTTTCAAAATTTTACTTATTTTATTGTTGTTGAGAATATATGCAGCAAAACATATACTAATTCAACAGTTTCCGCGTGTTCAATTTAGTGACATTAATTACATTCTTCGAGTTGTGCAACGATTCTCACCCTCCTTTTCTGAGTTGTTCCTTCCTCAACATAAACTCACTACGCCCTAAGGTTCCTATCTAATCTTAAGAGTTGCTGTTGTCAGTTTGATCCCACATAGATAGCTCATTAAAGAACCAGTTCCAAGTTCTAGTTTCACCATTCTTTTTTTTTAGTAATCTGTATTTTAGTAATCTGTAATTTCTAAATTTGAAAATGTGAATATTTGTTCATCTCCCGTTTTCTTGCAATCTTTTGCCCTCCATTTTGTCTTTAATATAATGTTTGCTGAGAGCAGTTTAGCAATCTTACATAAAAGTTAAAAGATTTGAACTCTAAGACATATTGCTTTGTTACAACAGTACCTTTAAAATATTTATGAAACACTGCAAGTATTTAGGTCTTATCCTTGACCGACTTTCTAGATATTTCTTTAGTTAATATTAGACTGTTATTTTGACATTGTTGATTATCCTATGAACTCAGGCTCCTCCTCTTTATAGTTTTATTGGAAATTACTGTTCCAATATTTTAAGCCATATAAAGTAAACTAAAATGTCACTGTAGCTCTGTGAACACATATTCACTTTCTGTCTTTATATTCTAAAATCTCAACTCTTGATTGACATCAGAGTTGAAACTAGTTCATGTGATCCAGGAAACCTTGGACTTCATAGATTTCTTTTTGACACCATCATTTTCCCTATGAGATCCTATAGAAGCAGTTAGTAATTAGCTGGTTTAATAAGATTAGGCGTCTTCTGTCATACTCACTGTATTAGTTATCTATAGCTATATGACAGATGATTCTAAAATTTGCAGCTTGTGAAACATTTATTATCTCACATAGTATCTGAGAGTCAGGAATCTGGGAGTAGCTTAGCTGAGTGGTTCTGGCTCCTAGTCTCTCATCAGGTTGTAGTTAAGCTGTCAGCAGGGACTGCAGTCATCTGCAGGTTTTCTGGAGCTGGAGGAACTCCTTCCAAGAAGGCTCACATATATGGCTGTTGGCAAGAGGCCTCAGTTTGTCATTGGCTGCTGACAGAAAGCCTCAGTTTCTTGCCATCTGGACATCTCCATAGGGCTGCCTTATCGTCCCTAGGACATGGCAGCTGGCTTCTTTCTAAGAGAGTGATCCAAAAGAAAGAGGGAGCCAGAACAAGCAGGAAGCTGTAGTTACCTTTTATGACCTACTCTCTAAAGTTATACACCATCATTTCTGTTTTATTTTATTTGTTAGATATGAGTCACTAAGTTCAGCTTACACTCAAGGGAAAGGGACTTAGGCTTCATCTCATGAAGGCAGAAATAATAAAGAATTTTTTAGACATTTAAAAATTCTCACATTTATTCATACCCATCTGCCCAAAATACATGCATTTTGAGACTGTTCTCCAAGACTATGAATTGAATATTCAGTTGACACAGTAATTCTCACATAGTGCGTATAGATCATACTCACTTACAGACCTCTTTAAAAATACATATGCCTGGCCATCCCAGATCTACTGAATATGAAAATCTAGGAGTAAGACATGTCTGTGTTTTCAAAAAACAAACAGAAGGCTTATAGACCTCCTTGTTGTGTGCTGTCAAGTCAATTCCAACTCATAGTGACCCTATAGGACAGAGTAGAACTGCTCTATAGGGTTTCCTAGGCCATACTCCTTATAGGAGCAGATTGCCTGGTCTTTTCTCCCATGGAGCGGCTGACAGGTTCAAACTGCTTACCTTTCTGTTAGCAGCTGAGTACTTAACCATTGTGCCACCCGGGCTTCTTAGACCCCTCTACCCTGTTTAACAACTGTTGGTTTATATCAATAATGGATAATATGTTTTAGAGCATTACTGAATAAGAGGATAATTGGGTGTATATAGAAAATTAAATTTTTTATTTAGTAATTATCATAAAATTTATCACTGAGATATTTTTCAGTAATGATTTTTCTTTTTTCTGAAATTACAAATTTTATAATTTAGGCAAACTAGTGCTAGGTAATTATAATATATTGAATTTCTTGAGAAATGTATCTAGGAAGGAACTTAAATTAAATTGAACCTTAATTATTTTTTCTCATGGGGGGATTTTATGGGAAGTAAACTTTTGCCAGTGTTATTCCCATTAAACATCCTGAAAAATAGTAGCCCGGAATGATGGAGGAAAAAAGGGCAAAACAAAACAACAACAACAACAAAAAGTATCTTAAACTTTATATTTGAAGCTTTCTCAGTTAACCTTTTAAGCATTAGTTAGTAGCTTCCCTTTTCTGTTTTAATTATCTAGGTGAATTTAAAACAGTTTAACAACTCTCTTTCCTTCCCTTCCCTTCCAACTGATAGTGTCTGTTCTATCCTGTTTATGTTAAGGCATATCAGTAACAGGTTTCCCTGGTTTATCTGAAGGGTATTATAGTGCTGTTGTGTAGTTATGTGTGGGGACAGTCCTTATGTGCACATGAAGGGACAGGTTAATTTTCTTGAAATTCAGTTCTTCCATTAAAAATTTTTTAAAATTAAAATGGTTTTAAATAATTTAGAAATCTAACAGTTCTGTTTTTGTTTTCTTTCTTTTAGTCGATTACAGGCACAGTGAAACCAGTGCAACAGCCCTGATGGTTGCTGCAGGACGAGGTTTCACAAGTCAAGTAGAGCAGTTAATTAGTATGGGAGCCAATGTCCATAGTAAAGCATCAAATGGCTGGTAATTTCTTTTAACCTGCATGCATTCTTTGTATCTATTTGTATAGCTACACGTATCTTTTTTGATTTCTTATACTTATTTTTATATTAAAAGCTATTGTGTCATAATTGTTTGTACATCTTTATTTTAATGGCTGAATAAATAATTTTGAGAGCCAAGTTTTATAATTTTAAGAACATTATTTCTGTGTCTTAATTTGATATCTTTGAATTTTGGTAGGATGGCTTTAGATTGGGCTAAACACTTTGGACAAACTGAAATTGTGGATCTTCTAGAATCTTACAGGTAAAACTTTATACTAAGTTTTTACCTCCTTTTTTAAAAGCTTAGGCATGTAAATCATAGAATGTGACAAATTAGGCTATTTGTAGTCTGTCATCCAGAGATTGGAGCCCTGGTGGTGCAGTGGTTAAGAATTTGGCTAATCAAAAGCTCAGCAGTTCGAATCCACCAGCGTCTCCTTGGAAACCCTATGGGGCAGTTCTACTCTGTCTTATAGGATCGCTATGAGTTGGAATTGGCTCAACAACAATGGATTTTTTGGTTTATCCAGAGGTTCTTTTTTTTTTTTGTAATTCTAAGGAATTTTTCTGTGAAGTTTTATTTTGTAGGTTGTTGATAACATCTAGTGTGTTATAATAGTTATTTTAATTTGAAAAATCAGAAGGGAGATTTCTAGTTAAACATGATAAATAGGGCATATGTATTTACCTCTTCATTTTCCTAAAATCTCACAAAAATGACAGTGAAGGAAGATAAAAGGTGTAAACTGACCAAGTCAAAGAGAAAGAGGAGACATAGCTTATGGGAGATGTTAGTGAATTTTTGGATGTAAGATAGCTAATAGGTTAGTGGTAATTGACTTAACAGAGCTAAGAAACTGAAACCTTTGTACCTACAGAGGGGAATACCAATGAGAAACAAAGTTATTTTGGCTTTGGAACTCCTGAGAGTCTCATTCAACTACTTGTGACAAAAGCAGTGAAAGGGCTGAAAAAATAGTAGGATGTGTTCAGATTCTTTTGAGGAACAGTTAGATCTCCAGATTCCCTTCTGCCTTGCTAGCAGATAATATCCCTTGCCCACCTTGGCAGGAAGTGGAGGATTTAGCAAAAAAATTAAGCCACAGAGGCTTGCAGTTTTAGGATTATTAAAAAATTGACCATTGAAGCTTTGGATTTGGGATTACTGTTTGCAATGGGAGAGTGGGGTGAGGTATCAAACAAACAAAAAAACGCTTTAAGTGAAACTCTGCTGACTGAAAGTTGAGATGCTGTTCACTGCCTTTGCTTATCATCTCCCGTCACCTTTTTCTATTTGGAGCTTATATTCTTTGGCAGAAAACTTGAGAATTCTTTCCTGGAAAAAAAGACCAAGCTAGAGAAAAGATTTAGAAATATAGAGCATTTGGTGTTCCCTCAGTGAAATGATTATCTTCTAAATTATATATCTCAACAGTCCTGCCTGTGCACATGAAGTTTTTTGGTGCTGTACTGTTTATGAGGGAGTCCCTGGGTTGTGCAAATGGTTAAGTGTTCAACTACTGGCTGAAAGGTTGGCGGGTTCAAGCTTGGTGGTTCGGACACACCCAGAAGTGCTTCAGAAGACAGGCCTAGTGATCTGCTTCTGAAAGATCACAGTCTTGAAAACTCCGTGGAGCACAGTTCTGCTTTGACACACATGGGGTCACTGTGAGTCATAATTGACTTGAAGGCAACTAACAGCAACAGCAGCAACTCTTTATGAACAACTGGCTAAGGATTGATCACCAGACAGTTGAGGGGGGAAAGCACCCACAAATCAAAATAAAATAACAACAAAAACCCAGAACCGAGATGAAAGTAAGAATCAGTGCACTGAACAAAACTTCAAAAACAAAACTATAATAGAAAATTTTGCATTCGTGAAACAAAAACAGTGTGCTATGAAAAAGGAACAGAATACAAGTTTTTGCTCATATTTCATCTCATGAGGCCTACTCAGATTTACCCTAGTGAGTATTGTGGTCTACCTCCTTGTGCTGTTGATCACCCTTAACCTGTTCTACTTTTTGTTTTTTCCATAGACCCTACTACCCTCTGATATACTATATAATTTACTTATTTTCTATGTTTTTTGATTTGTCTATCTCTTCCTTCAACTAGACTTTAGTAAGCTCCTTGTCTCTGTTCAAGAACTGTTCTTGGATATAGTAGATGTTCAGAGAATATTTATTGAATGAGTGAATGAACAAGAAAGAGCCCTTGGAAATTTAAAAAAAAACCCAGGAGTATTGTAAAATAAAATTGAGAAAACCTTCCACAAAGTAGTAAAAAAAGATGAGATGGAAAATTGTAGAAAAAAGAAATTTTACTTCCTATGTACCCTTTATCAGGTAGCTGTTAGAGAATGTGCTCCACAAAATAAGTAAAACAGTAGACCCAACAGAGGATAGGTAAAAGCAATGCCCAGGATGCTGATGAAGCCAAGTGTTAGGATGACAGCCACCCAGCAGGTCTAGGCCTCACAGGAGCAGAAGATGGAGGGCTCAAAGATGCAATTTTCTGAGGGGGGAAAATAGATTGCCTATTATTTTTGACCATATTAAAAAGGCTTATGAATCTGAAAGATTAGTGATCAGTACACACAAAATTAAGCAGATAAAAATTACTCTAGAGAGGTAAAAAGTTATAGAAGGAGGTGTAATCATAGTTCACTATTTGACTCAGTGGTATAACGTTTTCATAGTCATGCTAAAGTAAAGTCTGAATAAAGATTTAATAAAAATTGTAGAGATTGGTGTGGGTGGGAAGTGTATGGAGGTGGTGACGTCATTTTTCATTAATTGACAGTTCACAGATACTGACTAAATTGTTAAACTAATTGAACAGAGCGTATGCATGTTGCTTAGAAATATGCCAATAAATACCAAAAGAAATAACAAAAAGGATTGAAAGATCCTTCCTATGTAGTATGAATTAGGAGTGAGGAAGGATTTTTTTTAATAAAACCATTTATTAGCATTATGTATATTATTGCTTTGATTTAAAAAAATCAGAAAGGCACTACTTTAAAAAATCCTATGGATCTAATCTAATTATCATTTAGACAATTAGAGATTTTAGATTAATTTAGATAGAGTATAGATTTTAGATATTGGAAAACTTTAAATATTTAATGTACTTTATAATACATTGACAGCTTCTGTTTTTAGTCTATAAGAGCCTAAAAAAGAAAAAAATTGAGTCTGAAGTTAAAATATATTAAAATATCCATTATTTAAGAACATGTAAATTTTTTATTTGACCTAGACTTTTGTATTTAATTTTATAGATGTAGTCTCAGACATTAAACAAAACAAAACAAAAAAACCCAAAACCCTTTGCCATTGAGTTGATTCTGAGATAAATGTTTGAAGTGTGAAATTAGTTGTGTCATTTTAATTTCATTAAATGATAATGTAGGTTACAGAGTCTCAAACTTCTTGGCAGATCCAAATGCTAATTCTGGTGTGGTGGGTTTTGTTGTCATTTCAGTGATAGCACCTAGAACTTGCAATTCTCTTAGTGCTAATACTCTGAATGTTCTAGACATTCTTTGGTATTAGTTAGGTAAAGCTCACTAAACACTAGAGATTAACAAGTAAAGTAATTATCAATTAAAAATTTCAAATGTTTAAAATTAAATTTATTATTATTATGTTTGCTGGATTATTGATAATTGATATCTAAAGTTTAAAGCTTTAAATAAGAAACATAATGCCCTCTTTATTTACCTGTTAAACAGTAAGAAAATAATATACTTAAGACGTTTTAAAATGGATCTTGAAATTCAAAGTACTCCAGTTTTAAAGTTGCATATGTTTCATATTTTCTGTATAGAAAGCAATCTTATGCTGTTTTTCTCTTAAGCTCTTTACGAGATACTGGGCTGAAGTGAACTTCCAAAAATCCTTTTGAACTTCCTAGAAATGCTATTGATAATTACTAGTGATGGCAGTAGTTTTTTTTTTTTTTTGGTCTTTTTTTACATATGGGATGAAGAAGCAAGATATTTGTTTCAGTTATTTATGTTATTCTGGCTTTTGGAAAATAGCATTACCCAATTAACAGTCATGTTAAGCTGGAGCATATAGAAGGTTTTTTTTTTTTTTTAAAGTGACAATATTCATCAGAGTGTTGTTTATATAACAAACAATTAGAAACAACCTGTTAAGAAAATATGATGACCAAATAAATGTTTGTTAACAGTTTTATTGAGTTATAATTCATATACCATACAATTTACCCAATAAGTGTACAATTCAGTGGTTTTTAGTATATTCAGAGTTATGCAACCATCACCACAATCAATTTTAGAATATTACTATCACTTTGAAAAGCAACCTGTATCCATTAATAGCCACTTCCTATTTATCCTCAACTCCTCCTAGCCGTAGACAGCCACTAGTCTACTTTTTCTATTTATAGATTTGCCTATTCTGGATATTTCATATAAATGGAATAACATGATATGTGGTCTTTTATGATGGACTTCTTTCACTTAGCATAATGTTTTTATGGTTTGTCCATATTATAGCATGCATCAATACTACTTTATTACTTTTTATGGTACAGTAAAACTTGCGAAAGCCAGAACCTGCGTAAGGCAGAAACCTGTCAGAGAAGGAAAACTCAAATATTTTCCACTAATAGGGAGTAATAGAAAAGTGGTAACCTGCACCCTGTCTAAGGTGGAAAACTTGCGAGACCCAGAAAATCAAGGCAATCCCATTGAGTTCCAGCTCTCACAGATTTCACTCTATATGCATAGTATGGATATACCACAGGTTATTTATCCATTCGTTCATCACTTGATGAATATTTGGATTGTATCTACTTTTTGACTCTTATGACTGATGCTGCTGTGAATATTTGTGTACAAGTTTTGATGTAGACATAAGTTTTAATTTCTCTCGTATATATATCTAGAAGTGGAATTACTGGGCATATGATAACTTTTTAACATTTTGATGAACTGCCAAGGTGGTTGTACCATTTTACTTCTCCCAGCAGCAGTATATGAAGGTCCCAATTTCTCCGTTCCCTTGGCAACACTTGTTATTGTCTGTTTTTTTTTATTATAGCTATCCTGGTGGGTGTGAAGTGGAGTAGTATGTCATTGTGGTTTTGATTTGTATTTTCTTGGTGGCTAATGATATTGAGCATTTTTCATATGCTTATTGGCCATTTGTGTATCTTTTTTAGAGAAATGTCTTAAGATTTTTTTTAAAAGCACTTACTACTAAATTTTACTTAGAAAAATGTGCTGGAAACCAAAGCAGGAATTGTAGCTAGTACATTAAGTATCATTTACCCTTCTTAGGGTTTTTTTGAAATTTGAAGAAGGAAATAATGGGAATCATAATATTTAAGGGTTACTTTTTTTAATGAAAATTGACTTGATCTTTTTTTTTAGTGCTTCCCTGGAATTTGGAAATCTAGATGAAAGTTCTCTGGTTCAAACAAATGGAAGTGACCTCAGTACAGAAGACAGAGAGCTCCTGAAAGCTTACCATCATAGTTTTGATGATGAAAAAGTTGACTTGGATTTGATCATGCATCTTCTGTACAATATCTGTCATAGTTGTGATGCTGGTAAATAAGCATTGTCTATAAGATCTGAAACAAAAATGTGTACTTTGATTTAAAAATTAACATTTCTTGTGTATAAATTTCTATATAATTTCACTGATAGTAATGCTTGAATAGTCTCGTAAGTGTAGTCTCGTAAATATTGTTAGCAATACTTAAAAACACATGATATAGGAAGTTCTGTTGATTGGTAATGATTGCAAGATGAGATTTAAGATTAAAAAATTATTTTCTTCTAAGGTGCAGTATTAATCTTCCTACCTGGATATGATGAAATTGTTGGATTGAGGGATCGCATCCTGTTTGATGACAAGCGGTTTGCTGACAATACACATAGGTAAAAGCTAAAGCTTTGTATTTGTTGCTTTAGATAACAGACTGGAACTATAGTATATATTCTCTTTCAATTGTCAGCAGATATCAAGTCTTTATGCTTCATTCAAATATGCAAACATCTGATCAAAAGAAGATATTAAAAAATCCACCTGCAGGTGTTCGAAAAATAGTAAGCTTCATAAAATCTTTTTCCATTTTTATTTGTCATTGGTTCTATTTTCATATTAATTATAAAATAACATCCTATTACAGATCCTTTCAACTAATATTGCTGAAACCAGCATCACAGTCAATGATGTTGTCTTTGTTATTGATTCTGGTAAGGTGAAAGAGGTATGTTTGGGTAAATTGTATTTTTATGTAAATGAAGAAGGTTAAATTCCATTCTAACAAATGCTTTTACAAACAGAATTCACTCTAATGGGAAAATTTCTAGTACTAGATGAATTTAACAGTAGCAATTGTTAATTTCACTAAAATAAATATAAAGTATATCTTGTTACAGTTAACCAATTACAGTGGAGAAAGATGTAGCAGTCTGCTTCCATAAAAGAGTACAGCTTTGGAAACCCTATGGGGGCAGTTCTACTCTGTCCTGTAGGGTTGTGATGAGTCGGAATCAACTCACTGGCAACGGGTTTTTTAACAAATTATACAAAAAATATAGCTTCTGCTCATTAAATACTAGGAAAAAAGTAAAGAGTTTGGCTAGTTATAGTGAAACTTAATGTCACACAATATGGGAATTTGATTACATATTTTATATATTTTCTTCCTTTAACTGAGTCTGGATTCTGTCCCTCCTATTCATTGTTATATCTTCAGTTCCCTACATATAGTTGTTAAAAAGATATTTGGTTCAAGGGAACTACGCTGAAAGAAAGCAAACAAACATATAAACCATGGTCAGTTGGCAAACTGTAGCCAGAGAGCCAAATCTGGCCCAACACCTTGTTTTGTAAATAAACTTTTATTGGAACACAGCTACACCTATTCTTTTACCTGTGCTTTCTGGCTGCTTTCACACTGCAGTAGCAGATTTGAGTTACTACTACAGAGACCCTGTGGACTCCAAAGCCTAAAATATTTACTCTCTGGCCCTTTACATAAAAAGTTTGCCAACTTCTTGTGTAAGCAAAAGGCAGCATTCATTTCTTTTCAGCATTGCAATGCCCAGAAATTCTCAGTGCCCCAGACTTTTGGTAGAGCCTTTTCACTGAAAGAATGAAAGTGATGGAGGCAGTTAATTTTTCAAGGGAAGAAATATGATACATGTTTTAGAAACCAAATTATGTGATCTAGTAGAGATAAATAATTATTTTTAATATAAAAAAATGTTAATTGCTTTATAATGTTCTCAGTGTAATTTTTAGGAATATCTTATGAAAATAAAATGTTATTATAAAATTTGGACATATTCATTACAGTTGGTCATAGTGTAAAAGAGAGATAAATTTTATTTCTTACAAGACCACAATAAGGAATATTATTGCTAAAAATATGGATGGTGAGACAGTGAAAATTCAGATTTTATTGCCATAAAATTATCTAAAATTGATGAAATAAATTTTGAATAAACATTTTAAAAGATATAATGATTTATTTGTTATTTATATAGTAAACCATAGTTAAACCATGGTGGTAGTGTCAAAAAGTTAATTATCTTACATACAAAACTGACAAATGCTAACATTTTATTAAAAACTAAGCGGCATCTTTTCTAAAAATTTTTATATTTAAACTTAGGAGGACCCTTTTTATTTGCTCTGTGTAGTTCTTTTATGAAAGGAAAAGTAAGTGACTGTTTGAAGTATATATTCTAGTTGGGAATGTATTTTTAAAAAATATTTCTCTATGGTAAAGTTAAACTTCAGCTTCTTTGAGGAAGTAAGTGGTAGTTATTTTTGTTTTTTACCTTTTCCTTTGTAACATTTTGGAAAGACTGACTTCACTAGTAGCTCTGTAGGAGACAAAATGGGAGAGGTTAAGAATTCTCCGCTTTGGTTATTTTAATAATTGTTCTTATTCTTACCTCTCCAGATAAGCTCCCTGAAAAGTATTTCAAAAACTGTTTTTTCTATCACTCCTATTCCCAAAATGGTAGAAATTCCAATAGAAAATAAACACAATAGAACAGATTAGTTCTCTCCAGTTTTGATCCCTTATGAGAACTGCCTGTCATTACCCACCTTTAGCAGAAAAACATGTAGGTCAGCAAGGCACAGAATGGAAAGTTTTCTAGCTCTTGAGTTTTCATCTTTTTTTTTTTAAGAATGGTTGTAACCAGAAAATCTGTTTTTTTTCTTTCCTAATTGGTACTCTGTTCTAATTATTTAATCAGTAGGGGCTTTGAATTTAACTTGGCATGTTAAAATATGTTGATTAAGTTTCTATTTCCTCTGAAATACCTTTTGTGTTTTTAAAATAAAGATGTTTTAAATATTACAGAAGTCCTTTGATGCACTAAATTTTGTTACAATGTTAAAAATGGTGTGGATTTCCAAAGCTAGTGCCATACAGCGAAAAGGCAGGTAATGTATATTTTAATGGATATTCATTCAATTGCCTATAAAGTAATAACATTTTCATATGTATTACATATTTAGTATATATTCCACTCTCTATAAAATATTAAATGAGTCATATTAGTTTTAATTTTAAATTGTTTTTGCAAAGCAAACAATTTTAATACTTTTTAAAAAGGCAAGTATAGGTTACATTAAAAACTTTTGCCCAGTATAATCCACACTTAGAAGACATAGAAGCTAAAAATCAAAAGAAAAATTTTAAACCTTTGCAATATGGGACAAAAGGGCTAATTTTCTTATAGGAAAAAACTCTTTAAAATTAATTAAATAAAGATCAGTAATCCGGTTTAATGAAACAAAAATCCTCACAACTGGACCAATAAGCAACATCAGGATAGATAGAAAATATTGAAGTTGTCAAGGATTTTCATTTTACTTGGGTTCACAGTCAACGCCCATGGAAGCAGCAGTCAAGAAATCAAATGACATACTGCATTGGGCAAATCTGCTGCAAGAGACCTCTTTAAAACTTTAAAAAGCAAAGATTTCACTTTGATGGTTAAAGTATGCCTGACCCAAGCCACGGTATTTTCAGTTGCCTCATATACATTTGAAAGCCGGACAATGAACAAGGAAGACCAAAGCATTTGAATTATGATGTTGACGAAGAATATCGAATATACCATGGACTGACTGCCAGAAGAACAAACAAATCTGTCTTGGCAGAAGTACAGCTAGAATGCTCCGTAGAAATTAGGGTGGTGAGACTTTGTCTCGTTTACTTTGGACATATTATCAAGAGGTACCAATCCCTAGAGAAAGACGTCATGCGTGGTAAAGTGGAGGGTCAGCGAAAAAGAGACCGTCAATGAGATGGATTGACACAGTGGCTGCAGCAGTGGACTCAGACGTAGCAACCATTGTGAGGATGGTGCAGGACCGGGCAACATTTTGTTCTGTTATACATGGGGTTTGCTATGAGTTGGAGTTGAATCGATGGCACCTAACAGCAGCAACAACAATCCAATTAAAATGAATAGAGGACATAAATAGGCAGCTTATCAAAATAAGAAATGTGTATGGCCTGTTAATCTGTTAACCTCACACATACCACCTCAGATATACCAAAAGAAATGGGTAATTGAATCTATGAAGGGTGGTGGCGGTAAAGAGTGAGGTGGAGTTAAGGATGTCATTCATCTTTCTGTCTTGGGAAGTTTTCTGGATGATAGTGCCATTGTCAGATAGAGAAAATGGGAAGAATGGTTAGTTTGGGGAGAAGAATTAACTTCTGGTTGTGTTGAGTTTGAGTTGACTGGAAAATCCAAGTGGAGCCATCCAAGTGGCTTCTCAAGTATACACCTAGGGTTAGGATAAGGAGATCTAGGAAGGATGGAAATTGAAGTTAAGGAACTAATAAGATCACTTCTGGAGAAAGACTAGAGTAAGAAGAGCAGAGGGTCTAGCCTCAAAGGAACATCAACATTTAAGGATTGGGCAAAGATAGAAATACTTCAGAGAAGGCAGGATATGTGGGAGAGCTGAAAGGTATAGTGTATGGGAAATCAGGAAAAAGAGTATTTGGTGAAGGAAGCAGTGGTCCAGCAGTGTCAGATTTTGTAGCTCTTGTCTGTCTTTGCCCAGTCCTTAAATGTTGATGTTCCTTTGAGACTGGACCCTCTGCTCTTCTCATATTGTTTGGAGGCCTGGTGGTACAGTGGTTAAGTGGTACGGCTGCTAACCAAAAAGGTCAGCGGTTCGAATCCACCAGCTGCTCCTTGGAAACCCTGTGGAGCAGTTCTACTCTGTCCTGTAGGGTAGCTATGTGTCGGAATCAGCCAAGGGCAGTGGGTTTGGTTTTTGGTTTTTATCACCTTGTTTTGTAGTTATGCTTGCCTCTTTTTGGATTGTGAGCTTCTTGAGAACAGGGATATTTTTGTATCTCTCACAGCATATTCATCTCTGCCACTAGATGATAGAGTGACTTTGGGTGAATTTTAAAGACACTGCTTTGCCTCAAGATACTTTTCTGCTACTTGCCAGCAAATTATACAGGTCTCTATGATGATGGAGTCCTGGTGGTGCAGTGGTTAAGAGCTCAGGCTGCTAACTGAAAGGTCAGCAGTTCAAATCCACCATCCGCTCCTTGGAAACCCTATGGGGCAGTTCTACTCTGTTCTATAGGGTTGCTATGAGTCGAAATCGACTTGACTGATGGCAGTGGGTTTCTTTTGGGGGTATTTCTATGATAATGGAGTAAATGATACCCCCTGGAGTTATGTAATGTACAATTCTAATCAGTGGCCCTGAGCATAGTGCTTGATACCAATTAATTAAAACTGATTGAATTTAAATTACCGTGTATTTATTTATACTTTTTTTTTTTTTACTTATTTTCATGTGTATGTTATTTCTTTTGATTTTTACCATAACCACAGGAGGTATATCAGGTAGATGTCATTAATGAATCTCACTGTATAAATGAGATAACCGAATCCTAGACAAGTTAATTAAGGTTTCATAGTGGAGAACTGTCAGAGTATGGATCCCAACTCAGATGTCTCCATCCTGGTTCATTGTTTTGTCTTCTTAAACCACGTTGCTTTTTACAGTGTCTTTAATTATTATAGCCTTTATTCCTGTTGAGTCTTAATTTTGCATTTTATTTCTAAGGGCGGGGCGATGTAGACCTGGAATCTGTTTCCGTCTGTTCAGTAGACTCCGATTCCAGAATATGTTGGAATTTCAGACTCCAGAACTTTTGAGAATGCCATTACAGGTAACTCAGAAGAGTGTGTGTGTGTGTGTGTGTGTGTGTGTGTGTGTGTGTGTTGAGGAAAATTTTAACTCATACTGATTCGACTTTTACAAATCAATTTATAAGAACAAAATTATAAAATGAATATTTTAAAGGGTAGTTACATATATAAAAAAATTTTTTCCATATAATTCTTGTATCTTCAAAATTTTTATGAATTACTTGAATGCATTTAAATTACGATGCAGCTTACAGGTATGTTGTATTTTATATGCAACATTTTAGGAGTCTGTCTACTGCGTAGTGTTTACCTTTTTAATTCTCAATAAAGCTTGGAAAACAAATTATTTATGGTCCAAAGATAATACCAAAATCTGTTTCAGATGCAGAGACTACCTTGATGATTTGGAATTGAGTTCACTATTAATTGTTTTCATTTAGGTTTTCTGATTTCATGGAAAAGGCAGGCACTGTAGTTTTTAGGAAAAGCTACCAGAAGTACATTAATTTGAATCTTTGGTGTACTGGGCTTAGATGCTGGCTTCTAAACTTTTAAAGGCACACTGAATCGATCATGTTTTTGGCATCCATGTACCTAGATGACCTCCCTCTTCCACCTATGTGTGATTTTTTAAATTCCTCTTAGGTTAAAGTTCACATTTCCTAACAAGAGCCTAAATGATCTACTCCTGCCTGTATCTCCAGCTTTATTTCCTGCCATTCTTCCTCTTTCTGTCCACACTAACATTTTAGTTTCTCAAGCACATCTTATTTCTTTCTACCTTAGGGCCTTCACATATGTTACCCCCTCCCTAGAATCACCCCCCTTCTTTTATAACCCATTCCTACTCAATCTTTACATCTTAGTTTAAGTGTCACTTCATGAGGGAAACTTGTCTTTAACTTCCAATGGCATCCCTCTACTGCTATTGCCTGAATGTGGTTAAATCTCTCATTTTACCTCTCTTAGTTTCTTGGGTTCTTCATAACACTTACTACAATTGTAATTAAGTAACCAGTTATATAACTCACTGTTTAACGTTTGTTTTTCATACTACCATATAAACTCCATGAGGGTAGGCACTTGTCTGTCTCCTTTTTTCTAACTTGCTGCATAGTGCCTTGCCACCTAGTAAGCACTTAAATATTTGTTGGAAGGATCAAAGATTCTAGAATGTAGTATAAAGGAAAAAAAAAGATTTATTTTAGAGATAATTTTTAAAATGACCTACTTCTATTGAAACTAAGTAGTATTTAAAGAAATTTCTGGTCATTTGGGCAATGACTCTGATTGTTGCTTGTAAGAACTGTTGGAGGAGATGTTGTCAGTGAGAGCAGTGGTAATCTTGATATGAGTTGATGAAGGTCTTTATTAAGGTTCTGAGTTCTAGGGGAAGGTATGAACCCGTCATTCCTAGAAAGACATTGTTCCCTCTACTATTTAGTCTAATCCAAGACTACTAGTCTGTGTTTGGGAAATATAATTCCCGTGATTTCTTTAAAAGTAAAAGTCAATACTGTATGTTCTTATTTTTTTTAATTTTTAATGCTTTGATTTACAGGAACTTTGTTTACATACCAAGCTGTTAGCCCCAATTAATTGTCCCATTGCTGATTTCCTTATGAAAGCTCCTGAACCTCCACCAGCTTTAATTGTAAGAAATGCTGTACAGATGCTTAAGGTTAGTGTTTTAATAGTTTTATTTTACCTGACTTTATTTTACTTGAAATTTAAATCAAATGAGACTATCTCTTAACTAATTTTGTACTTAAAAAAAATTATCTTCCACGATTGTATACTTTGAATAATAATCCTCTGGTGGTAATTATAATACAACAGTAGGTATAGTTCTTCTGCATAATATATTTGAAACAAGATATTGTGTTTTTTATGAGGTGCGATAGCAAAAGAAAATTTATATTTCTTGTTGGTTTTTTAAGTTCGTAGTTGGCTAAACATAGTCTTTGCTCATGTCAAATTCTGTTCTCTATTGTTTTATTTAGACAATAGATGCAATGGATGCATGGGAAGATTTGACTGAACTTGGATATCATTTGGCTGACTTGCCAGTAGAACCACATCTTGGTAAAATGGTCCTGTGTGCTGTTGTTTTAAAGTGTCTGGATCCCATCCTTACTATTGCCTGCACATTAGCCTATCGAGATCCATTTGTACTGCCAACTCAGCCCTCTCAAAAACGTGCAGCTATGCTTTGTAGGAAACGTTTCACTGCAGGAACTTTCAGTGACCATATGGCACTTCTCAGGGCATTCCAGGTACTATTATTACTGTCATTTTATTTCTGAAAATGTTGATGATTAAACTCATTTCAGGGCAAGTGTAGCAATTAAAAAAGATGTTTCTAGTAATTATGTTTCATTTTGAAGTCACATTTTATTAATAATCCAGAAAAATCCCTTTCTGCTGTTAATATATTCAAATTATTATACTTTTTCTTTACTTTGCTTTTTTAATTTTCTCAATATTTTTGTTTTAAGTATGTGTATGTATATGTGTATATGTATTTATTTACCCTTATACCTGTATTTTTTTTTATAATGCCTGAGTTTCTATCTTTAAATCATGTCTTGGGCAAGGAATGCTCTCAGATTTTAGTTAAGAAATATTCAAAGTATATAAAATAAAGCTTGGAGTAAAAATATCTTGAATTTAGTACAGGCAGTCCTTGGCTTACAAACGAGATTCATTCCTATGTCTTTAAGTCAGATTTGTAGGGACATCGGAACAGGTGCATCCAGTTCTTATTTAGTCTTACTTTAGAGCAAGAGGAAGGAGCCCTGGTGGCACAGTGGCTAAAGTGATCCACTGCTATCCAAAAGGTGGGTGGTTCAAAACCACCAGCGGCTCTTTGGGAGAAAGATGTGGCAGTGTCCTTCCGTAGAGATTTACAGCCTTGGAAACTTTATGGGGTTGCTTTGAGTTGGAATTGACTCGATGGCAGTGGGCTTGGGCTTGAGTTAGAGCAAGAGGAGCCCAGGTGGTGCAGTGGTTAAGAACTTGTCTGCCAACCTAAAGGTCAGCAGTTTGAATCCACCAGTCATTCCTTGTAAACCCTATGGGGCAGTTCTGCTCTGTCCTGTAGGATTGCTATGAGTCGGAATCGACTCAGTGGCAATGGGTTTGGTTTGGGTTTTAGAGTAGGAAAAGGCTAGAAGCCTTTTCAGTGATTTAAAAGCTGCATGTGCAGCAAGTGAAGGTGATTGTGATGAAGAACTTGTTGCAAGTAGGGGTTGGTTTAATTGTTTCAAAGTGAGGGCAAGTTTACATAATGTTAAAGGGCAAGGACAAATTGTAAGTCGACTGTCATTTGGGGACTGCCTGTATCTATCTATTAATTTTTTAGAGTACATCTTTTTCTTGAATATGCTAAGAACTTAATTTTATAAAGTAAAATTGAAAAATCACTTGAAACCCTTTAAGATAATAGGAGAAATTGAAGAAAGAGATAAATGGGAAAGAAAACGGAAATGGAATTCCAAGGAAGGGAAATTAAATGTAACTGAGAAATTCAGACATGTGGGGAAGAATATGTTGTTTCTTGAAAAGATAGACATCTTATTTATCCTTAAATTCTCTTGAATATAGGCTGAACCTGTCCTTTTATTAAAATTCCACCTTATTTATGCAGAAATACTTCTTCCGGCATACAGCATTTTTCTAATACATATATAATTTTAAAAAATTGTGAACTCTTTTATGAGCATTACTGAACAACAGATGGTGCATTGTTATTAATTAGGGTCTATTTGGTAACCATGCATTATAGTAGATTAGTTGAATGCTGGTAATTAGAGGGAGATTTGGAATAGAATTATCTGTATTTTGCTTTTCTCTAGTTCCTCCAAAAGCAGAGAGGATAAATTACTGCTTTGATCTTTGCATCGTAGTTGAAAGAAAAGAACTCATTTTCTAAGGGGAGCTTTTTTATATTTATATTGCATTTAGACAGTTTCTAGAAATCCCACTTTCCATTCTTAGTCAGATTGGAAAGTTGATAAGTTATTTCGTGGAAGGCCAGAGGGGTAGGATTCTTAGATATAAATGGTTTTCTGATGACATAGTTGAAAACCGCCTATAATTTTATAGAAAAAATTAGAAGCCTCTGAAAAGGTAAATATTTTTACATAGGTGGTCATTTAGATTACTTGATACTTAGTTCTCATTAGAAATTTGTAAACTTAATGGCTTTCGTAGCCTTTGAACATATATTAATGATAAATCTTACTTGATTAGAAAGTCTTAGATTTTGTAGACTAATTAGAATAAGAAGAATTGGCCTTGGGTGGTTAATATAGTTTTTCAGTTAATTTGCTGCCTCACTAAGAAGTCACTGGTAAATATGTCTTGTTATGTAATTATTCTGTTTTTATAGGCATGGCAGAAAGCACGAAGTGATGGGTGGGAGCGAGCCTTTTGTGAAAAGAATTTTCTTTCACAAGCTACCATGGAAATAATCATAGGCATGCGAACTCAGTTGCTTGGTCAACTTAGAGCATCAGGTAAAATTTCCCCCAAAGAACCTATTTAACTCACTTAGAATACCCTGCCTATACATCATAGTATTTCTAGTGTTAATTTATGCCATCTCATATTGTTTTGTAACATTATCATGTATATCTTATGTTTGTGAAATGCTTTTAAAAAGACTCTTTTATGACCTTAACTTTTGTTTGTTGATTTAAAAAAAAAATGATACTGAAGAAGCTGAGGTTGAGAAATACGTGAATAGAATCTATACCCTGTTGATACGGTTGGCCACGATCAATTTATTTCTTGGCAAAGATCAATTTTAGATTTTATAGTGATTATACTTTCTTTCATCATTATTATATTTATCTAGCTCTATGAAATAGCAATTATAAGAATTAGATTGATATGAATGATAATCTTCATATTTTTGAATCATAAGACAACTGGTAGTCACTTGAAGATACTTGCTTTGTTTCGTTTTTTTTAAAGAGGATGCCAGGATTTCTACTTCCCTTTAGAATTTTTTCTTTGAATTTCTTTTTTACAGCGTAGTACATTGAAGAGATAGAAAAAAAGTACCAGAACCTGTATTCACAGATTAGCTGAAGTGTCATAGTAATGTAAGGAATTAACCAGAGGATTTAGGGTTGTCTGCAATATGGGGAAATAAGAAGGACTGTTGAAATTTAAGCAAGAACAATCTACATTCACTTGACTACACCTTCAGAATTAGTGTCTGTCATAACCAAAATATTATTTATACTGGTCAAAAGAATGGTTTAGGGCAATGGTTCCAGGTGTGAATTTAATACATATCTGATAGCAACTTAAGAAGCACCTTATTGTGAGAATGTGCATTTCTTAAAAAAGACCTAAACTTTCTTAGAATATTGGTATTACATTTTAAACATCCCGTAGGAGATTCTACTAATTGTTGTTGAGTTTAAATATTATTGAATATATCATATGAATTATACAATGTTTTGTAAAAGCATACACAAATTTAAAAGCTTCTTTTATACAACAGAAAAAGCTCATGTGGTTTTTTCCTCTCTAGGTTTTGTTAGAGCACGAGGTGGTGGTGATATTCGAGATGTTAACACAAACTCTGAGAACTGGGCTGTTGTTAAAGCTGCATTGGTGGCAGGCATGTATCCTAATTTAGTCCATGTGGACAGAGAGAATGTAGTATTGACAGGGCAAAAGGAGAAAAAAGTACGGTTTCATCCCACTTCAGTTCTCAGTCAGCCTCAATATAAAAAGGTAAAACATTTTTAATGCTCTTAGGCCCTGAGGTGAAACTAATCCAATCTAGATATCCAGTGAATCCAGTGAAAAATGCTCCAAATACCTGCCTCTTTTAAAAAAATATATATATATGTACATACATATGCATGTGTATATTGTGTGTGTGTGTATATACACACACACATAAAATCAAATATTGGAACAAAGTTTTGATTGCATCTTAGAGTTGGAAACAGTAATATGTTAAATAATGAGGGATATTCTACAAATTATGTGAGCAGATGACTTGCTTTTAGTTTTTGCTTGGGTACTAATACACAACATCTGTTTCATTGAACTTTTTACATTTTAAAAGTATTCTTAATAATTTAGATGATAAATAGGATTAACAATTTTTAATTTATTTTCCTAATAGATTCCTCCGGTGAATGGTCAAGCTGCAGCAATTCAAGCACTACCCACAGATTGGCTTATTTATGATGAAATGACCAGAGCCCATAGGATAGCTAATATTAGATGTTGTTCAGCAGTGACGCCTGTCACTGTATTGGTGTTCTGTGGACCAGCTAGGTTGGCAAGTAATGCTCTTCAGGAGCCTTCGTCCTTTAAAGGTAAATATATTATGTATTTTGTGATGTGTATTATAAGAGAATAAACTCTATTTGGAACAAATTATTTTTTTACTAAACCACACTGTGAAGTTTTAAAAATTTATGTGGTAGTAACTCCCTTTTGATACGTTAAGACTAATTAAGAAATATGAAGTTGTTCTATTATTCTTAAGATTGATTTCTGAGGTAACCTGACATTGATTTGTGCATTTTTTATTAATCTTAGCAATGGGAAGAAGTTTGCTTTTCTTTTCCACTTGTGTTTATTTGGTAGTGTACCATAAAACCAAAAAAACCCATTGCTGTCGAGTCGATTCCAACTCATAGCAACCCTATAGGACAGAGTAGAACTGCCCCACAGGGTTTCCAAAGGGCGGCTGGTGGATTCAAACTGCTGACCTTTTGGTTAGCAGCCATAGCTCTTAACCACTGCTCCACTAGGGCTCCAAGTGTGTACTGCTATAAATAAAGGTAATTGTTTAAAGAAAGTAGTTATCATAGTCACTTATAAGCCCATTACCCTTATGTAAACACTTTTTAAAATATTACACATTTTTTCTCGATGTTTATATATTTTTAATTATTTCACTCAGACTTTATTTTACATTCTGCTATTTTCATTGTACAAAATACCAGAAACAATTTTAAAATAATTCATATTAATAACTGCAAAGTATTCTACTACATTGAAGTGACATCATTCATTTAGACTGTCCCTTCTGTTCCCAGTTTTTTGTTATTTGGTGATTCAACAAATATTTATTGGGGACTTACTATATGTCAAGTACTGTGCTAGGCATCGGGGATGTAACAGAATACAAGATAGACAAGGTATTTCTGTCCTCGTGGGATTTACACAATAGTTGGGGTAGACAAAAATAAACCAGTAAATAATCTGTGTATGGTGTTATGAAGGAAATAAAAAGAGGGCTGCTGTAGGGGTGGCCTGCTTTAGAAAGGGAGCCTGGACAGGCTTCTCTGATGACACGAGATTTAAGGTGAGACCTAAAGTATGAGAAGAAGCCAGCCATACGAAAAAGTGGAAATATGCTGTAGGTAGAGGAAGACGGCAAGTGCCAAGATTCTGCCCTAGGAAATGATCTAAGAAATGACAGAAAAGCTTTGTGAATGCAGCTCCAAGATCAAGGGAGAGTTGGGTATGATAAGGTTGAAAAGGAAGGCATGAATCTTGTAGGCCATGGTAAGTGCAAGGGAAGCCATTGAAGGGTTTTAAGAAGGAAGTGACGTGATGTGATTTATGTTCAGAAAGATCATTTTCGCTGCTGGAATTGTCTGCTGAAGGGGAAAGATGGAAGAGAGGAGGCCAGGTAGGAAGCTCTTGTAGTGGTCCTATGACAAAGATGATTCAGAATAGGCTGGTGCAGCTGATATGTAGAGAAGTAGATTCAAATTATTTTGGAAGTAATAGTAACTGCTGGATTGAGTGTTGGTGGTGAGGGCAAGGAAGGAGTTGTCAAATATGACTCTCAGGTTTTTTACTTTAGTAGCTTGCTGAATAATTGATGCCACTTTGAAGGTCAGAAAACTGTGAGAGGAGCAGGTTAGATAGAGGGGAAATCAAGAGTTCTGTTTTGGATATGCTAAGTTTGAGATGGCTAAGACATCCTGAGTGAGGTGTTTTTTTTTTTCCTAGGAGGCAGTGGATACACATGTCTAGAGCCTAGGGAAGATGCCTGGGATAGCAATACAAATTTGGAAGCTCTTAGTGTTTGTAGATGATATTTTAAAGACATGTGAATGGATTTCCTAAAGAGAATGTGTAAACAGTGCTGTTCACCAAATTCTGTGGAATTCTAATATTTAGAATTTGAGTAGAGGAAGAGTGGCCAGATGTTGGAGATAAATATGTGTTAAGAAAAGAATAGTCAGCTCTGTTGAATGTTACTGTGAGAGACTGAAAAAGATGTGGACTGCAAATTGTATATTTGGTAGTTGGAGGTCACTGATGACTTTGACAAGAGCAGTTTCAGTAGAGTGATGAGCCCAGAAGTCTTATTGGTGGTGTTGGGTGGGGTGGGTTAAGTTTGTATTGAGAGTTATCAGTAAGGTGGGGGCATTGATACATTCACGTCTTCATCTGAGTGTTCTTTTGCTTTTACTAAATTTTTTCCTTGAGATAAAATTCCTTGAAGTGGAAATTACATGATAAAAGTATATGAATATTATTCCTGGTTTTTCTTCCATACACAGTCATATTGGGGCCATCAGGAGAGAATTTCATTGCACGATGTCATCATTGGGTGTTATCTTTAAAAAAGAAATATGCTATTTTAATTATAATGTTTACAGGTTTATTTGTATTTAAAAAAGTTTTAACCCTATCAAAAAGGAATAATCCTCCATGTATCTGTTTATATTTTCCTTTAGTTGAGTTGTTCATTTTATCCTTTGCCCATTTACTTATTTGAGTACTGATGTTTTTCTTAAAAGTTTGAATGAAAGCTTTACGATTTTAAAGGTATTAGCTCTTTTTCTATCATATTCAGTGTAATCTGTTATCCTTTTAAGTTTTACATATTTTGAGTGTGTGTTTTGATTACTGTATATTCAAATTGGTTAATCTTTTCCTATGCTGTTTACTTTCAAAGCTGAGAAAGTTTCATTCCCCCATTGATCTGAAAAGTATTTGGTTTTTGCTTTTTTATTTTCTGTAATTTGTTTTTTTTACATTAAAATTCATACTTTGTTTTAGTTTATTGTTGAATTCCTATTTCTCATTTGAAAATATTAATTTCAAAACATAATGTTGGGAAACTTTTGAATCAGTGGATTTTAAGATGGAAAGACAACAACAACAAAAAACCAAACCCATCGCCATCGAGTGAATTCCAACTTACGGTGAACCCACGTGTGTCAGAGTACAACTGTACTCCATAGGGTTTTCAGTGGCTATGTCCTTTCTGAAGTAGATAGCCAGGTGTTTCTTTCTAGTGTAATCTGCTTTTTTTTTAAAATACTTGGTTTTCTCAACCATGTTGAGTTGATTCTGGTTTAAAGTATAGATCTAACTTTTTTTCATACTGCTTTTTTTCTGAGCTGCACCATTTATTAAACAATCCTTATGTATTCTCTTTTAGAAAGCTTGCAGGATTGCATATTAAATTTAGCATCTTTTTCTAAACTTTCTGTATGTTCGATTCCTTCTGCTTTTATGTTGTATCATCTTGTTTAGTATTGTTGTTTACTAATAAATTCTCAGATAGTAGAGAATCTACCTGTAGCTCTTTGCTGCTTTTCTGTTTTCAAGCTGTTGTTTGATAATTTATCTTTTTTCACCTTGTTGTAATCCTTTCTCAACCAACAAATCTTCTGTGATTTTAGTTTAGTGTTTGCATCCAGGAAATTTAGTATATTCTTCTATTTAGCCATACCTTCTATTAAAGGATCCTTGGTGGCGCAGTGGTTAAGAGCTTGGCTGCTAACCAAAAAGTTGGTAGTTCAAATCCACCAGTCACTCCTTGGAAACTCTATGGGACAGTTTTTCTACTCTGTCCCATAGGGTCACTATAGGTTAGAATCGACTCGATGGCAACAGATTTTTGGTCTATTAATATTAGCAATATAGCTTTTTTGGTTACATTTATAAAGGTCAAGCATATTTCTTAAAATGATTCGTAAGATTTGTTGTTGTTCTTGAGTTGTTATGGTGAATGAGTTCTCTTTGTGTCATTTATCTGCTGATCTTGCTTAATAGAAATATTATCTTAGACATCAGTATATTTTATTTACCATGTTATATAACTAAATTCTTATTAATACCTTGAATTTTCTATTTATTATATTACCTTCAGATGGTAGTATTTTTTGTTACAAAATTTATTCCTTTTACATTATTTCTTTGTCAAGACCTTTGAAAACTATATTAACAGCCCACTTTGTCTTGTTGAGTTTGAAAGCTTTAAATTTTAAAGTCGTATCATTGAGCATAATATTAATTTTTGTTTTAATAAAAGTAATTTTTGTTAAATTAAGGAAGAATTCTGTTTTTATATTTTCAAAAATAAGTGTTGAATTTATTAAATAGCTTTTTAAATGAGAATTTGTTTAGCCTAGTGATGTGGTATATAGTTTTTCTTATGGAACTATCCTTTTTTTTCCTTAGACTAAGTAGAATTTATTGCATTGTTGAATATTTTGCTACAATTTTATTTAAAACTTTTATATTTATGTTTATTAGTGAGCCTGACCTATAGAATGTGTATGTGCATGTGTGTACACTAAGGTTATCTTTTTTTAATCGGGTTTTAGGATTAGGTTCTGACTTGTCTCATTCAAGGAACTGATCATCATTTGATTCCATGAAAGTCTGAAAGACTTGGTGGTCTAGATTTCTTTGTTATTCTCTAAGAACATCCTCAGTGTCTTCCTTAGATATTGTTCTGTTTGGGTTTTTCTGTTTCTTGTTTTTTCCATTTTAGTTTTATTTATTTTTTAAAATTTCTTTCAAGGTTTCAAATTTCTTATTCTGTAATTATGAATACTGTATATATTTAACTTAAAATACATTTTGTATAAAGTTTTATATTATTATTCACACTAATGATTTTATAGATTTATGTTTTCTTCCTCCTTTATTAAATTTATCAGGGGATTGTCTATTAATCTTCAACAAATAAAGTTATAGTTTTAACTTTAGCATTTTGTCTTTGTAATTTATCAATTTTTTTTCCTAATTTTTCCTTTGGATTCTTTACTATTTTTCTAAGATTTATTTTGATATGTAGTTTTTCTCCTTTTTCTTTTTTATTTTAAATCAAAAACTGTGAATTTAAATGAATATTACTTTGACCACATTCCATAGTTCTTGGTATTTAGTGTTTTCATATTTTTCTTTTAATTATGTTCTTAATTTTCATACTCATCTAGTTATTATTTAAAGATTGTGTTTTAATTTTTAAGTTCTTGGTCTTTTTTATTTTGTTGCATTGTGATTTGGAGATTGTAGTTTTTAAAATGTCTTTTTAAAAATTTCTTCTTGTTAATATTGAAATTTAATTTGTGATCTGTTGGATATGGAGAACTCCCTGTGAAAATTGTTGGTGAATCAGGAGAATTTGTGTAAACAAGTATCTATTCTGCTTACTTTTTTGTTGTGATGTAAGATGGTAAAAGTGAGATTTTTTTTTCTTTCCATATGTGTTTGAACAGTGGATGGTATTCCTAATGACAGTAGTGATAGTGAAATGGAAGATAGAACTACTGCTAATTTGGCAACTTTGAAACTTGATGAGTGGCTTAATTTCAAACTGGATCCGGAGGTAAGTGACTTTTTAGTAGTACAGTATATTTCATTCAGTTAATGTGAATTGATATACTGTGTGATAAAAATTTCATCTTCAGTATTGAGCCCTTAGAATTAAAGAATACAGCTTGCTTGTTAGTTTTCACAGGGTCCTTATGCATTTTCTGCTATATTGGAGTTTATTCAATAGAAGACTTGAAAAACCTAGGTGTGGCTCAGTATTTAAGCATTGTAATACTTGAGTTTTTTTGTGTGTATGTAAGAAAATATTAAATATTGAGTACACAAGCACCCCCTTTATTTTGTATAACTCTGTTTCTAAGACAAAGATATGAGTTCATTCTGTTTTCTCTTTTCATATACCTCTGAATTCAGATGTATGGATGTTTCTTTTCAAATTAAAAGTTTTCTTGATAAAGCTTCCCCTTAATTCCATCCCTACTTTTAAAGATTACTATTCTATATCCATTTCTTTTTTCTTTTTTTTTTGACAGCCAAGCTGTCAATAGTCAATACTTGCTAGGTTTATTTATTTATTTTTTTTACCATTTACTCATTCTTCACTTCAACCTACTGCAGTCCCATTCATCCCTACCAACAATTCACTTCACTGAAACTAGATTTGCCAAGATCAACAGTGTCCTTCATGTTGTTAGAACTAATCTGATGTCCTTGATAAATCTGACCTCTCCCTAGTATTTGGCACCATTGTACTTAAAATTCTGCCTTTCCCTGTTTTTCCTGTTAACCTTTGCCCCAACTTCTTTGCCACTAATTAAAGTGACATTAGCCTTTCCTGATTCCTCTTCTTTCTCGCTGACTATTCGTTCTTAAGTTTTTTCACTGACTCTTCTGTATGCGTTTTTATGCCTTAAATGTCACATGTTCCCCAGTAGTCTGTGTTTTGCTCTTCTCACTCTGTTTGCATAGCCCCTGGGGACCTTGCCTCTATGTGTAGACTTAGTTACCATTTATGCACTGATGACTCCCAGGTCTGTATTTCCAGCATAGGCCCTTCTCCTGAGCTCTGGACCTATGAATCCAGCTGCTTTCTGGACACCACCATTTGGCTGTTGTAAAGGCACTCAAATACAGTATGAATAGAATTAAATGTGTTTTCCTTTATTTACCTTGCTGATACTTTTCTAGTGTTAATCACTGTCTCTCTCATTGAACTATTTCATTTAGTTTTGTGTCCCTAGTGGCTAGTATATGGTAAATTTTATTTCATTCTCCAACAAAAAGAATGAAATTAAAAATTAAGTAAATTATATAAAATGTAAAACATGTTCTTTGTAAACAGTTGAAGATCTTAACTAATGAACAAATAGTAATCTTGCATGAGTGATATACAGTTTGTATCTATCTGAACTGAGGAAACTTATTTATTATAGGCAGCCAGTTTACTGCTACAGCTCAGACAGAAGTGGCATAGCTTGTTTTTGCGCCGAATGAGAGCTCCATCTAAACCTTGGTCTCAAGTTGATGAAGCTACAATAAGAGCAGTTATTGCTGTCTTAAGCACTGAAGAACAGTCTGCAGGTTTACAACAACCATCTGGGATTGGCCAAAGGCCAAGACCTATGTCTTCAGAAGAACTTCCTTTGGCATCATCTTGGAGGTCAAATAATAGTAGGAAAAGTTCAGCAGATACTGATTTTTCTGATGAGTCTACTACTGCAGAAAGGTAAATTTATAACATTTTGTTAAAATGGGAGCCAGTTTCTTCAGGAAAATGTATCATTTATCATAAAGTCATATGCTTTTAGAATCTTTTAAAATTACTTTTTTTTTTATAATCTAAGGTACATAAAAAGGCTATATAATAAAATGGCAAGAGGTTTTTACTTATAAAATATTTTTATAAATATTAATATAGTATGCAAAATGTCAAGCTACTGGAATCTGTTGAGTTATTTAATAAGAAAATTCTTTGTTAAGGAAAGCTCAAAATGTTTAATTTCCAGAATTTACAAATTTAGGACCTGTTTAACAGATAGGAACACTTTTTTACCATATGTGTTAGTTGGTATATGTCAATGACATCTTTCCTAGATACCCTACAGTGAGATGTACTGGCTCTGGTCATTCAAAAGAAATTCCCCACAAACTTTACCTAGATATTATTATTATTGGATAGCATTCCTACTGAAAAGTACTTGATCCATTCATTTTTTCAGTAATGGATCGAATGCCTGTTGTTCTAGGTGTGGGACACAGTCATGTACAAAACAGACAGCCGTGTACAAAAGAGCCATGTACCAAATGGTCAAGGTCTCTTCCCTCAGAGTTTACATTTTATTGAGAGGAGACATAAGTTTACTGTCATGTCACAAAATTTCTGTCACAGTTTAGCTAAATCCTTGTATTCTTTTTAGTACTTAGCAATTAAGGAGCCCTGGTGCTGCGATGGTTAAGCACTCGACTGCTACCCAAAAGGTTAGTGGTTCCAACCCACCAGTGGCTGCGGGGGAGAAAAGACCTGGCAATATACTCCTGTAAAGACTACAGCCTGGGAAACCCTATGGGACAGTTGTACTCTGTCATTTAGGGTAGCTATGAGTTGGAATCGTCTCAATGGTACCTAATAATAACAGTAACACTTAACAATTAGATGTGGTGATGGTTTTATTACTTGATTGCCAGTAATATGAGCTTTCTTATAATAATTTTTTGTTAAAATGCATATTAGTAATATAATCGTGGTTATAATAGATCATTGGCCATGAGTCATAAATATTTCTGGTTGTAAAAGCATTTGTTGGAATTAAATTTAAGTTTCTTTACATCAGTTAAATACAAGGTATTGTTTACCCTGTTAGAATTGATAACAAAGACAACATTCTTGCCTGTGGTGCTAGTTTTGGCAATATTGGTAGAAAGACTGTATAGTAAGAACATGGTTTCATAGTTAAAAAACTGAAAGTAGAAACAATGGAAACATAAAAGATTCTATGTGATGATTACTATTTTTTAAGAATTGTCAGATGAGGTTTTAATACCTTCTTTTGAATGAAGCGTAAAGCCCAGATATCAGTTAAGACTTACAGTTAAGGAGGAATAATATATATTGGTCTCCAAATTCTTCAAATAGTACATTTTAGGAATAATCCAGCCAGTTGCCAAGAGAACTTTCTCATAATATGTGTGCCGAAGCCTTTCTTTCTAGTGTAGATCCTGCTGAGTGAAAGGAGAAGGGAAAATCATAATCTGTATTTAGAAACTTCCCACTTTTTGAAAAGATTTTCCAAAAGTTTGCTTGAATATTAGTTGTTTATAAAGTGGGAATACATTTTCATAGAAGCTGTTATGCAGTAGTGTTATTCCTGGATCAGCCAGTAAAAAAACCTGTTAGAGCCATAATGAGACTGTATCTGTGTATACATACACATATTTATACACACACACACACACATATACACACATTTTAAAAAATAAAGCTTCCTTTTTTTTCTTTTTAAAAGTAATACATACTCATGTAATAAAAATTGAGAAATACAAGGGGGGAAAAGCAGAATTATTTAGTATTAGTTACACTTTAGAATCTGATTTAAATCCATTCTTTTAACCTATGATACCTCCTTTCTTTTCCCACAAGTTGCAGCTTGACATTCTTCATTCTCTTACCTGTTGAGCAGTGAGATCAAGGGTTTCATCACCTTTCAGACTTTTGGTGATGCTAATTGAAGTCAATTAATTTGGTAAGGAATAGAATGAGGACTCTTAGGAAGAGGTATTTCTGAAGGGAGAAGTTATAACCTTTGTGGGATTACTTCTTGAGGAAAAGGTTTAGCGTTTTCACCCTAGGTGAAAAGGTTTATGGGAAACCTTCCCTCCCGCCCTCCCTTCCTTCCTTCCTTCCATTTTCAGAGGAAGCCCAATGTGAGAGAGATGAAAGCTAGAATAGAGCTCAGAGCCCTGTCAAAACCTCAGTTTGAAAACCACATGTTTAGATGAGCTTATTGGCAATATTGTTTTTATTTTAATAAGTTTTTACTGTCATTAAGTTCTGTTACCTAGTCTTCACATTAGTTAGAGACCAGGGTAAGAATGATAGAATTTTAGAGGTTGTAACTAGGTGATTAATTGGAAACTCAATTCACTTGGGAAAAAAAATTGTAAAAGTTATCCTTTTACACTCTTACCAAGTTTTTGTTAGTGATTCAGATATGCATCCATTATATATTTTATTGTTAAGATCTTTAGGCTTTAGTTATTTTAAAATTTCATTTGTGAAAGAATCCTGGATCTAAGATATTTATTGAAAGAGGAGTAAATTGTAAGATAAGCTATTTTCACTTATCTTGAAAGTAGAGTAATTATAATTGTAAGGCTATGGAAGCATGCAATTATATGGATTATTGAAGACCTATGTTTTAAATTTATTTATTAGAAATACTGTCAAACACAGAAAATAAATGTTAAACCCTAATGAACTCCATATCCCAGATTCAACAATTACCAAATTTTTACTTGCTTTATTGACCAGCATTTTCTTTTTTATTTCTTGCTTTCTTTATTATTTTGCTTACATATTTCAAAGTAAATCCCAGAAATTGTCATTTTATCCTTCCATATTTAAATTTGCATCTCTTAAAAATAGGGGATTTTTTACTACAAAACCTTAGTCTATTTGTCACTCCCAATAAAATGACTATTTTCCCAGTTGTCTCAAACTGTTAATTTATTTGAAACAGCATCCAGGCCGGGTTTGGCATTGTATTAGGATGTCATGTTTCTTCAGTTTCTTGTGATCTAGACCAGTTCTCCTTTTGACTTTTTTGAAGAAGCTATGTTCCACATTCTGGATTTGTCTCTTTGTTTCCTCCTGGCATCATTTATTCCTATACCCTATATATTTCATGTAAACTGATAGTTAGCTCTCAAAACTTGATTAGGTCTAATGTTTTGGCAAGAATATTTTATAGGTAGTGCTGTGAAATTTATATTGCAACACATCACAAATACTTAATATCTGGTTATCCCAGAAAGACCCATTTTTTTTTTTAAGAAATTATAAAATCCCTGAGTGCCATGTTTGCTGTATTTATTCATAGAATTTATTCATAGAATTGTAGAGGTTGTCTAGTACAGTCTCTTCATTCAATGAATGAGCAAATTAAGCTCAAATAAGTGACTTGCTCTGAATCACATGCCTCATTAGTTATAAATTTAGTATAATACTAGAAATCTACCTCTCCTACCTTTAGTTCCACATTCTTTCCACTTTGTCACACTGTAATTTTTAATATGCTTTTTCTGGCTATTATACTTGACTGTCAGATATTACATGAAAATGGGAGGAAGGTGGAGTGGGTGATATTCAAGTAAGAGCAATTGTTGTTGTTGTTAGGTGCCCTTGAATTGGTTCTGACTCATGGTGACCCTATGTACAATAGAAGGAAACACTGCCCGGTCCTGCGCCATCCTCAGTCATTGCTGTGTTTGAGCCCATTGTTGCAGCCACTGTGTCATTCCATCTGATTGAGGGTCTTCTTCTTTTTTGCTGACCCTCTACTTTACCAAGCACGATGTCCTTCTCCAGAGACTGGTCCCTCCTGATAACACGTCCAAAATATGTGAGACAAAGTCTCACCATCCTTGCTTCTAAGAAGCATTCTGATTGTACTTCTTCTAAGACAGGTTTGTTTGTTCTTCTGGCAATCCATGGTATATTCAATATTCTTTGCCAACACCATAATTCAAAGGCATCAATTCTTCTTCAGTCTTCCTTATTCCTTGTCCAACTTCCACATGCATATGAGACGATTGAAAATACCATGAGTTGGGTCAGGTGCACCTTAGTCCTCAAGGCGACATCTTTGGTTTTTTAACTCTTTAAAGAGGTCTTTTGCGGCACATTTGCCCAATGCGACACATTGTTTGATTTCTTGACTGCTGCTTCCATGGGCATTGATTGTGGGTCCAAGTAAAATGAAATCCTTGATAACTTCAGTATTTTCTCCATTTATTATGATGTTGCTTTTTGGTCCAGTTGTGAGGATTTCTGTTTTCTTTATGTTAAATTATAATCCATACTGAAGGCTGTAGACTTTGATCTTCATCAGTAAGCGCTTCATGTCCGCTTCGCTTTTAGCAAGCAAGGTTGTGTCATTTACATAATACAGGTTGTTAATGAGTCTTCTTCCAGTCCTGATGCTGCATTCTTCATCATATAGTCCAGCTTCTTGCATTATTTGCTCAGCATATAAGAGCCATTAGTATAGATACATTTTAATAAGTTTTATAATGTTGAAAACATTAAGTATCAGTATAAAATTTTATAATTGGTAAAGAACTCTCCTATACCATCATAAAAGAGGTTAGGAATTTTGTAAGGTAAATAAACCGGCTGCCATCGAGTAAATTCCAGCTCACAGTGACCCTATAAGACAGAGTACAACTGCCCCATAGGGTTTCCAAGGCTGTAATCTTTACGGAAGCTGACTGCCATGTCTTTCTCCTGTGGAGTGGCTGGTGGGTTTGGTTAACACCTTTTGGTTAACAGCCAAGTGCCTAACCACGGTGCTACCAGGGCTCCATTGTAAGGTAAATACTTGGATATTTTTAAATATTAACTTAGAGAATTCAATATCTTTTTTTATTTTTGTGGATTTTTAAAACATGTTTACCTATACTGTGAAAGTATACCTTAACTGTCCAACTGTTTTTTAACCTCCAAATATAATAAAAGAATGAAATTCCCTTTTTAAGATACTATTCCGTAAATCATAGTGTCTTTGGGAGTTTGCATTGAAATGACATCTGCTTTGTGTTATAAACTTAAGTGTAATTAATCTTTACTTCTTCCTTATCATTCAAGAGTATTGATGAAATCTCCATCTCCAGCATTACACCCACCTCAGAAGTACAAAGATAGAGGAATTTTACATCCTAAACGAAATACTGATGATCGATCAGATCAGTCATCTGTGAAATCTACAGACAGCAGTAGTTACCCAAGTCCTTGTGCCAGCCCTTCACCACCATCCTCAGGAAAGGTAAAGTGTCTAAAACATAGCAAGGAACAGATTTGTAGCATGTCTAAAGTTATATGCTCAAACAAAATAACAAAAAAAAAATCCTACTTTTGAGTTACCGATTATGGTCCCTGTTCTAGATACAAATTGAAACTGGCAAACTTGAGACACTTTGAGTAAATTTGTAATTTTTTCATGCTTGCCAAATATTTCTAGTTATTAATATCTTAGAGTGTTTTAAAACTTGAACACTGATGACATGAAACTAGGCAGTTTATTATTTCCTTTCTACTTCTTTATAGTCTTTTTTGCTAAAAACAAACAACAAAAGATTGTCTTAAGTTAATTTTTATTTATAATTTCAGAATTAAAAAACATTGGTTTCTTTCATTCTTAATTGATCTCTGCAATTCAATGGTAATATTAAAAACACAAGGTAGGATGAGATTAGGAAGGTGAGAAATGTTGATACGAAATTGAGAACTATGTATCTTTTTTTATAATACGAATGATTTCAAATGTTTAGAATGTGTTTGTTTTTACTTTCCTGTGTTGTAAATACCTGTGTAAGTATTTGATTCATGATTATTTATCTACATACTGTATTTTGGTGAAAATGTCTCTCCTAAACAAGAGAAAAACAACATTTTTGTGGATTTGCTTTCCTAGGTTTTTTGGTTTGTTTATTTTGAACACCTTTATTAAGGTATAATTTACACCTAAAAATTCACCAATTCAAACTGTCCAATTAAAACAATTATGGCAAATGTATACAGTTGTGTAACCACTACCATAATCATGTACAAAACACTTTTCATCACCCCTAGCCCGTGGCAACCACTGATCTGCTTTCTGTCCCTAGAATATTTCTAGAATTACCTGTAAATAGAGTTATAAATATGTAGCTTTTTGTGTCTTTTTTACTGTAATGCTTTTGAAATACATCCATATTGTTTTATTAGTTTATTACTTTTTATTGCTAGGTAGTATTCCATTGTATGGATATACCACAATTTGTTTATCCATTCATCGGTTAATAGAAATTTAGGTTGTTTCCAGTTTTGGGCTGTTATGAATAAAGTTGCTATAAACATTCAAGTATAAGTTTTTGTGTGGAAATATGTTTTTTCTTTGATAAATACCTAGGAGTGATATTGTTGGATTGTATCATAAGTGTGTTTACCTTTACAAGAAACTACCACTGTCTTCCAAAATGACTGTACTATTTTTCATTCTCTCCAACAATCTATGAGAGTTCCAATTGCTTCATGTCATTGATAATACTTGACATGTCTTTTTAATTTTAGTCATTCTGGTGGGTATATAGTGATATCCTATTGTGGTTTTAATTTGCATTTCCCCACTGACTAATGATATCGAACACCTTTTCATGTGCTTATTCGCCATTCATTTTTCTTTGTTGAAGTGTCGATTCAAATTTGTTGTCTTTTTTTTTTTCTTTCTGTTTATCGGTTGTTTGTTTTTATTGAGTTCTAAAAGTTCTTTGTATATTCTTATTTATACATGTTTTGCAAATTTTTTTCTGACAATCTATGGCTTGCCTTTTTATTTTCTTAATAATGTCTTTTTTTCTGTTGTCATCTACACCTGACAATACATACAACAGCTCATCAATTTCTACATGTACACTTCAGTGATATTGATTACATTCTTCAAGTTGTGCACCCATTTTTTACTGTCTTTTTCCAAATTATCCCACCACCATTAGCATACCTACCATTAGCATTTCCCTCTCTCCTATCCTTGGTAACCACTAATTACTTTTGCTTTCTATATACTTATTTATTTTATGTAAGTGATATCATACAGTATTTGTCCGCATGTGTCTGACTTGTTGCGCTCAGCATAATGTCCTCAAGGTTCATCCATGTTGTGGCATGCATAAGTACTTCATACCTCTTAACAACTGAATAATATTCCGTTGTATGTATATACCACATTTTGCTTATCCATTCATCAACTGATGAGCATTTCAGTTGTTTCCACCTTTTGCCTATTGTGAATAGTGCTGCAGTAAACATTGGTATACATATGTCTGTTTGTGTTGCAGCTTTCAGGTCCTTTGAGTGTATACTTTTTGAAGACCAAGTGTTTTTTAATTTTGATGAAGTCTATCCTATCCATTTTTTCTATTATGGTTGATATTTTTTCTGTCATAAGAAATCTTTGCATAATCGAAGGTCAAAAAGATTTTCTCCTAATCTTTTCTTTTAGAAGCTTTGTAATTGGAGCTCTTATAGTTATATGATCTATCTGGAGTTATTTTTTGTTTAAGATATGAGGTGTGGGCCAGGGTACATTATTTGACTTATGACTGTGCAGTTGTTCCAGCATTACTTGTTGAAAAGGTTATTCTTCTCCCATTGAATTTCCTTGGCACCTTTGTCAAAAATCAATTGAATATATATGTGTTGTCTCTTTATTGAACTCTATTCTGTTTCATTGGTCTGTATATGTCTTCTTTTGCCAGTGCCACACTGATTCAATTATAGTAGCTTTATATAGTAAGTTGTGAAATAAGTTCATGTTTGTCCTCTTAGTTCTTTTTTTCAAAATTGTTTTGGCTTTTGTAGGCTATTTGCATTTTTACATACATTTTAGAATCAGCTAGTCAATTTTTACAGATAAGTTTTTTGGTAATTTGAGTGGGACTGTATTGAATTTCTAGATCAATTTGGAGAAAATTGACATATAACAATTTTATTCTTCCAATGCATGAGCATGGTATATCTCTCCATTTATTTAGATATTCTTTAATTTCTCTCAACAATGTTTTGTAGATTTCAGAGTCCGGGTTACACATTTTTTTGTTAAATTTATCCATGAATAGTTCGTATTTTTGATGCTATTGTTTTTTAAAATTTTAATTTCTAATTGTTCACTGCTAGTATGTAGAAATACATTTGATTTTTTTCTATATTAGCCCAGTATCCCATGACCTTACTTTACCTCACTAATTAATTCTAGTAGTTTGTGTGTGTGTGTGTGTAAATTTTTCAGGATTTTCTACATGGATAGTCATATCTTCTATCAGTATAGTTTTACTTTTTTCCTTTTCCAATCTGGATACTGTTTATTTCTTTTACTTGCCTTATTTCACTGGCTAGGGCCTCCGGTAAAATGAGAGTAGACATCTTTGCCTTGGTCTTAGGGGGAAAGCATCAGGTCTTTCACCACTTAATATGATGGCAACTGTAGGTTTGTTGTTGATACCATTAAAAAAAAACGTATTTACTTAAAACTGTTGTTTTATTCATTGTGGCCATCTATTTTATCTCTTATCTCACATTAGCACCAGTATTTTTCACACCCCCCCCCCCCCAAGTAGCAGGAATTTAAGCAGGGACCTGAAGTGGAACTAACTCACTCAGTGGTAAATACAGTGTAGAACAATAATCTTGGCTTGGGCTGTCTGGTTCAGTGGTCTGGCAGAATGTCACACACAAGCTTAGTCACAGCGAATGATTGTTTTCTGGCTGTGCCCATTGACTGCCACTTCTAGTGTAGTAGACCGTGCTGTTGTTGGGTGATTTTGAGTTGATTCCTACTTATAGTGACCCATGTGACAGAATAGAATTGCCTCATAGGGTTTTCTAAGCTGTAATCTGTATGGAAGTAGATCACCAGATCTTTCTCCTGTGGAGCTGCTGGCTGGGTTCAAACTGCCAACCTTTTGGTTAGCAGCTGGGCTCCTTGTAGAATGCTGTTTTTCAGGTTGAGGAAATTTCCTTTTGGATCCAGGTTGCTGAGAGTTTTTATTATGAAAGGTGTTGAATTATGTTCAGTCTCCTCCCCCTCCCCCGGCAAAAAAAAAACACCACAGCTCTTCTTTTTTGACCTATTAATATGATGGATTTCATTCATTTTCTAATATTTATATCTCACTTGGTCATGATGAATTATCCTTTTTACATATTGCTGGATTTGATTCCCTGGAATTGTATTAAATTGAGATCTTTGTTTATGAGGGATATTATTCTATAGTTTTCTTGTGTTGTTATGTGGGTTTGGCATAATGCTAATACTGGCTTCATAAGATTGGTTGGGAAGTGTTCCATTCCAATTTTTTGAAAGAGATGTGTAGAATTTGTATTATTTGTACTTTAAGGGTTTGATAGAATTCGCCAGTGAAGCTATTTTTAACTTACCCTAGTGTACCTTGAATCAATATTATACCACTTCAGGTATAGTTTAAGAACTTTGCAACAGCGTATTTTTATTTTACCCTTCAGTCCTTTGTGTTATTGTTTTCATACATTTATTTCATATGTTAAAATGCTACAATGTATTATTTTTGCTTTAAATAGTCATTTATGTTTTACCAAGATTTTAAAGCCAGAAAAATCTTTTTATATTTACTCACATATTTATTATTTCTGGTGGTCTTCATTCTTTTGTTTAGATGCAGATTTTTGTCTTGTATTTCTGTCGTCTGCTTGAGACCTTTTAACAGTTCTTCTAGTGCATATCTGCTGAAAATGATTCTTTAATGTTTTGTCTGAAAAATCTTTATCATTTTTATTTCTGAAATGTATTTTTACTGTGTATAGAATTCTGGGTTTACAGTGGTTTTCTTTCATTTCTGTAAAGATGTCTCTCCGTTGTCTTCTGGCTTACGTAGTTTCTGATAGGAAGTTTTTTTTTAATCTTTGTTTCTCTATATAATGTGTCTCTTTTCTCTGGTTGCTTTTCAGGTTTTCTTTTTATAACTGATTTTCAGCAATTTTATTAGGATATGTCTTGGTCTAGTTCTCTTTATGTTTCTTCTTTGAACTGTGTATTTATAGTTTCCATCAATTTTGGAAAATTTAAGGCCATTATTTCTTTCTTTTTTTCAGCTATCTAAAATGAAGCAAGAAGTCCTGCTCTTTTTGCTTCATTTTGCCTAGTTTTTATTGCCATGTCTTCAAGTTTACTGATATTTTCATTGTAGTGTCTATTCTGCTGTTTATTCCTTGTCTTAGTTAGGGTTCTCTAGAGAAACAGAACCAGTAAGATATAGGTATATAGGTGTATAAGTATATATAAATATGTGTGTGTGTATATATATAGAAAGAGAGAAACAGAGAGAGAGATTGATTTTTAGGAATTGGCTCATGTGATTGTGGGGGCTAGGAAGTCCAAAATTTGTAGGCCAGGCGACAGGTTGGAAATTTCAGCAGTCTTCTGTCCAAATTGGTAGCTCAGGCCTCAGTGGAGAGGGAAGATTTTTGGTAGAATGTCATATATAGTCTGGAGGCAGAATTCTCCCTTGGGAAAGCCTCTGATTTTGCTGTGTGGCCTTCAAGTGATTAGATGAGGTCCTCCCACTCGTTAAAGGGTAATCTGTTTTAATTAAGGGCAGCTGATTTAAATGCTAATCAAATATAAATACTCTGTAGCAACATTTAGACTAGTGTTTGACCAAACAACATAGCATGCAGAGACATCTCTTTAAACCATACTTAATCTCCAAATAAAGACAGTAACAAAAGCATACTTCCATGTAACATGATACCGCTATCCTGCGTACAACCAAAAACGCACTCAGTCCTTCCCTAGAGTGAATGGAAAGTCCTTGGGTGATGTTCATTCTTCTCCTTGATATCCTGTAACTTTAATGTGTTGTTAGCTGCCCTCTAATCGGCTGCTGACTCATGATGACCCCATACACGATGGAATAAAATGCTGCCCGGTCTTGTGACATCCTTGTCATGGTTTGCATATTGGATCATTGTAATCCATAGGGTTTTCAGTGGCAGATTTTGGGAAGTAGTTTGCCAGGCCTCTCTTCCTAATCTGTCTTGTCTGGAAGCTCTGCTGACACCTTTTCAGCATCTTAACAACACACAAGCCTCCATTAACAGATGGGTGGCTGCGTATGAGGTACATTGGCTGGAAATTGAACCTCGGTCTCTTGCGTGGAAGGCGAGAATTCTACCACTGAACCACCAATGGCTTTAGAGAGAGAAGAGAACAAAGATATTTACACACACACACACACACACACACACACACCAAAATAGGAAGAAACACATAATAATTACAGTCTCTGCAGCTGGTCACATGGTCCTAGCTGATGTTTAGAGCTACCTTCTTCCACTACTCATCCCATATTTTCTTGGCCTTCATCAAATACCTCATTTGGTTCTTTGCCTGGTGGGGTGCCCAGACCTTCATTTCTGAGGATCTGGCCCATTAATAGTCCTGCCTTATTTGGGTTGTTATAGTTTTCCATTGACTTTAATCACAAGGCATGATAGTATTAAGAGACGACCTAATGGTTCTCCTATATTCCAAATTTACTCTTTCTTACCTTCGTTCTGTAATAACAGTCCAATTTCCCCTTGGTAATCAGAATCAGTGAAACCAGCCATTATAGTAACTCCCTTCTTTGCCTGTTTAGTCAAAGGCACAAGGAGCCCAAAGTGTCCAGGTAGCAGTCTTAACTTCCAGTTCAATGGAATTATTGTTGTGTCTCCTGGTGGAAGCATCTCTCCCTTTGGAACTAAGACCGCTAGACTAGCAAAGTATAGGGTCACAGAGAGAGTAAGCAAAAATTTTGCTAATGGATCATTAGGGGTTATAGTGAGTGGTGCCATACCTATTTATGTTTTTAGATTTTGGAAGTTTATTAAAATATTTTCTGTAAGTACCTTTGAAGTATAAATCAAAGTTGGTAATCCAGGATCCTTTCTTGATAAAGATTTTTGAAGACTCTGAAAAGAATACTTGGTTTTGGCTGTTTAACCTAATTTTGATTGAGCGTGCATAGGTTATCAGGCATGATGTAGCTATTTGCCTTTGTTGGATATTTGGTAAAATATTTTGGTTTACATGTTTACGAAGATGTTATTTAATAGAGCCTATTGATTTTGAAAGGTCAAATTGCCTTTCAAGAACTTATGCATTCTTTTGTAGGGCTCAAAATCTCCTTCACCAAGACCAAACATGCCTATTCGATACTTCATAATGAAGAGTAGCAATTTGAGAAACCTTGAGATTTCTCAACAGAAAGGTATCTGGTCTACAACCCCTAGTAATGAGCGGAAGCTAAATCGAGCCTTTTGGGAAAGCAGCATGGTTTACTTGGTATTTTCTGTTCAAGGATCTGGACATTTCCAGGTGAGCCATCCTGAAACAGTAAAATGGGGTTGTTCTGGCTGCAGTTTAGACTACAGAGGTCAAAAAACCTGGCTTTTTATTTAATCAGAACACAGGAATACATTTTACTTGAATGAGAATGAGAAATATATTGCTCCTCTTCAAGAGAATGATAGAACTGTGATCGCTTTGTTTTTGCCTTGTCTTACTAGAGCCTCTCCAGATGAACAATTTCTTCTGAAGACAATTTTAGATTTACTAATTCCCAGGTGGATTACAAGTAGTGAGAAACTTGACCTTCTGGTAAAATGTTTATTTAAATAGACCAAGAAAGTTAGTGTTGACAGTCAAGACCCTTAGTATGGTTTCTTAACTCAGCTTGACTTAATATATATCAGAATTTATAAAATAATGAATTTATTATATGATATTAATTACTAAAATTTTCAGAAATAAGAGTTTGGAGGTTATTTTATATCTATTTATCATGGAATAAATGTGGACTTAGAGTTGTTGCTGTTTTATTTAGAAAATATCTATTAATATATGCAATTGTTAGAAGGCTGGGATTGGTCTTTCCTATAAAGTTTGCTAATATTATTAACTAAATCTTTTTATAAAAATACATTTAATAAGCAGCTAATTTTTTGTTTTTGTTATATATCTTATTTTTATATACATTTTTACCTTAAAAACTTAGAGCATTATCAGGTAAATTGAATTTAGTTTAATACTTTGTTCACCTCCGCCCCTTCCCCCCACTTAACCTGCAGGGATTTTCTAGGATGTCTTCTGAGATAGGACGGGAGAAGAGTCAGGATTGGGGCTCAGCTGGACTAGGAGGAGTATTTAAGGTGGAATGGATACGAAAAGAAAGTCTCCCCTTTCAGTTTGCACACCATTTGCTCAATCCTTGGAATGACAATAAGAAAGTCCAGATAAGTAGAGATGGGCAGGTATACAATGGCATTTACAATGTTTTCTTTCACTTACTTTTGTTTTTGTTTTGCTTAGCTGTTATTCAGTGATATGTTTGAGTAGCAAATTATATATTATGCACTTGGGAAACAGTGATTCAGATTTGTTAAGGAGCTAGTAAAAACCTTGTAAATGTGTCTGATAGAGCTCATTGCTTTTTTAACTGTTTTTAAGTTTAGCTTCTCTCTGTTATTGCATATGTAAAATCGTTCATAGGCCACTTCATGGAGGCGCTTGTTGTCTTACTAAAGATCTAACCAAAACGAAATGAATTAATTTGACTAACGTCTTAAGAAGAAAACAGTAATTAACTTCTTTATAGCTTCAACTATTTATATGAAGTAAATAACAAACTTTAATATTCTAGTTGTTTATTTCTATTATGCTTTGCTTTGCCTTCATGTTGCTGCTGACAGAGATTTTAAACGAGTTAAGGTGATGGGAATTAACATATGTTGATAAAATACTGTGCTAACTGCTTCATATGATCTAATTTAATCCTTATGTATAAAATGAGTTATTGGCCCAATTTTATGTAGGAGAAAATAGACTCAGAAGGATTAATTTTACCTAAGGTCACCTAACTAATAATTGATTTGAACCAGTGTGACTCACTTCAAATCATTATGTGAAAAGTGTTTGGATTCTTTTTAAGTGCCTGTCAGAGGTATCATGCCACAAGGGGATAATAAAGTGACATTTCCCCCCTAATTGTATAAAAACATTTTAGTTTTTATCCTGTAATGATGATTTTCTAATAAATCTAAGCAATTCTTAAGAATGCATAGTCACCTAAGATAGTTTCTTGGAAAACAAGACAAAACACATAATAGGATTTATAGTAAATCTTTGACAGTCCAAGGTGAGTGCTTTTGCTAAATCTCTATTAAAAGCAAAATCCATTGTTTCCAGATAGAAAAGTCTCCAGAAGTGTTCTATGGAAATCTCTCACCATTTTGTCACAAATAGTTGAGATATCTGCAAGTTGGCACTACAAACGTTAGAAATCAACTCAATAAACCTGAAAGCATAGAATTAGAGCAATGCATATCATATGATTTTAGCATGTTCTAGTAGAAAAATGAAATTTAAAGTGATTTTTAAAATATTTATCAGTATAGGTTTTGATGATAAAAAAACACATTTCAATCTAATTTTTGTTTACTTTGATTTTTATTTAGGAACTAGAACCTCAAGTTGGTGAACAGTTGTTGCAGTTATGGGAGCGCCTTCCATTGGGAGAAAAAACCACAACTGATTGACGCTCAGGTTATAGCGTACTTGACTTTGAGCGCTGGTTGTGTTTGTGATCACTAAGGTCTTTCAGATTATTTATATTTTCTTTTTTTTTTTTTTACCTTTCCAGAACTTTTAGATGCTGAAGAACATCATGCCTATTTATAACCACTGAATGCACTGATTTCTGAAAACTGAGATGAGGTTGTGTGTTATAAATGGACTTCTTTAGTTTAGAATGCTTCAGAACTACTCATCTTAATATAAAAAAGGATCACCTTAATTTTTATAATGATCGTAGGGAATTATCACTTAGTGTTTGTAATTGTAGGTCTGTCATTGAATAAAGTAGTAGTAGTTTCATTATTTAACACAGAACTGCATTATTTTAAGCATATTTAATTTATAAAGTTAAACATTTCATTTGTTTAAAACACTGACTTCCAACTCTTATTAATGATCTTTTAATGCAAAATAAATTGTTTTCTTTTAATAAAGGTCTGACCCATATCATTTAAACACTGTTTTCTAACAGTCAACCCTTAAGATGTATCATTAAAAACAAACAAGCAAAAACAACTAAATTCTTAAAATGTTACTTTTAAAGGTAGTACATGCTGGTAAAGGCTATTTATTCTGCCATTTTTAACTTGAGATACATTAAGGAATAAAGGAGAGATGTTCTTTTTCAGCAATTATGAAATGTAGTAAAATCTGAAACAAGGTAGAGAGTTCCTCCCTGCTTTTGATCAGATCAAAGTAAAGTAAGTGCTCAGTTTAATTCCTGGTCCTACTTCATTTAACCTGTTGTGAACCGTGCCCATTTGGCTAGGGAAATTTGATTTAGACTATTTAAAAATTTTAAACAAGTTTGGACAAGTTTAAAAAATTGCTCAACAGTTAGCAGAGGTAGCTTGGTTGGTGTATGTCTTCCAAACTGAAGCCTGTGAGCAACACACTTCTAAATGCATTCTTCCATTTTTCTTTTCAGTATTTTTTCTCTTATTTATGCTTTTGAGATGATTTTTCTTTGTTGCATTTATGGCTTGATAAATGGGGGATAATTTTTTGTAAATCTGTTGTAGTGCCAACTCACATATATTTGCCATCTCAGAATTACTTGATTTTACCCCTTTACTACCACTGTCTATAAAGTTTCCTTAGAGAGTTTTTGAAGGGCAAAATAGAAATACAGGGAAAAATGAAAGAAATGTCTTGATTATAAGCTCAGCTCTAAATACAACAGGTTTGATAGTACTTCTCATGCTGTATTTGGGTCATTGTTTAAAAAAAAAAAAAAAAGTGACCTTTCTTTAAAGACAAAAAGAAACTTCTAAGTCCTCTGATTCTGTATTTGAGGACAAAGAAGTGAAAAAATCACGGGTCAGCATAAAATCTTGAGAGCCTGTTCCGCTTTGTCAGAGAAGCTTTATATGTTGCTGCATTAGTTTACAATGCCAGTTGTGTTTTTTCCCTGTATTTGTAGTGATTAGGTTTTTTGTTTTATACTTTGAGACATACCTGTAAATTTAGCCTATGTGAATTATGTTGCACTGTATGATGTGTATTACAGTTCTTTTCCTGTTAGAGCAACTTTTGTCTTCCTGATAATGCATACATTTTGTTTAGATACATATATATTTATCAGTTCTCAGTGTTACAAATTTGGAAGTAAGGATTTTAAAAAAATAAAACTTTAATTTCCATCTGTTTTTCTAATAACTAGCCCTGTATGTAATGATAGGTTTGTTGGTATTTAAAATGAATACAGTTTGACTGTAATAAAAATGCTGTTTTTGAAAGAGATGAAGTTTAAATATAATTATTAAATAAAATTTTATTAAATCATTCAGATCTTGTTATTTCTGATACTATAAAAGGACTCTTAAGACAACAATGATCTGGGCCCCTTAGATAATACTGAATTTCAAACACCCTGAAGAATAGTAAATTAATATAGTAGGTAATGCTTTGATTTTAACCCTTCTCCTTGAAAAAATTTGCCTTATTGAAAAGGAATGGTAAAAATCTCAAAGCATGTTTAATATAAAGTCTTTTAAATATTAATAAAATGTTCACAAGTAGGAAATCTAGGCTGTTATGTTGAAACATTTCTATGTATTATAAAGAGTACCTTGTGGCTTAGTAAATGTTAGCAGTTTTCCAAGTATCTATATCAAGTTTTTGTCTAAACACCCAGGGGAAAATCATTGTACATTATCTCGGTAGCTAACCCTGTTTTTAGCCAAAGAATTCAGTTCTATTCTGTCAGCCAGTTCATTTTTTGTTTCTGTCAGCTATCTAGTCATTCATTTAGAAAACACAGAGCATCTACTATTTGCCAAGTGTCTTCATTGTCTAGTACTACTGTAACAGAAATACCACAAGTGGATGGCTTTAACAGACAGAAATTTATTCTCTCACAGTCTAGGAGGCTAGAAGTCGGAATTCAGGGCGCTAGCTGCTGGAGAATGCTTTCTCTCTCTTTCAGTTCTGGAGGAAGGTCCCTGTCATCAATCTTCCCGTGGTCTAGGAGCTTCTCAGTGCAGGGATCCGATGTCCAAAGGATGTGCTCCACTCCCAGCTCTGCTTTCTTGGTGACATGAGGTCCCTCTCCTCTCTGCTCTATTCTCTTTTTTATGTCTCAAAAGAGGTTGATTCAAGATACAACCTAATTCTGTAGATTAGTCCTGCCCTCATTAACATAACTGCCTCTAATCCTGCTTCATTAACATCATAGAGATTAGGATTTACAACACATAGGATAATCACATCAGATCACAAAATGAAGGACAACCCCACAAAACTGGGAATCATGGCCTAGCAAAGTTAACACACATTTTGGGGGGACACAATTCAATCCATAACACCAAGTAACGTCCAAGTGTTTCTATGTAGAAAGTTACAGTACGTTAGATACCTGGTCTCCATCAACTTTTCATCTCCCAGAGAAGTTTTAGTATTTGTTTCCACTAAGTCGCTGGGAGCACTTCATTGTCCTTTATAGTAAATTTGTTTGAGTATCATTTACAGTGGCATACTAAGAGCTATCAAGTACATGCTTGCTGTCCAGGAGGAGCTTAGAGTCTTTGGGTAACAGTTTTATTTGGTCTCGTATACCAGTTACCAGTTGCTATGGAGTCTTCTCCAACTCCTGACAGCTCCATGTAAGAGTAGAACTGTGCTTCATAGATTTTGCAAAGGCTGATTTTTCAGAAGTAGATTGTCAGGCCTTTCCTCTGAGGTGCTTCTGGGTGGACTCGAATTTCCAACCTTTTTATTAGCCACCAAGTGCATTAACCGTTTGCACCACCCAGGGACTCCTTGGTCTAGTAATAAAACCAAAAACCAAATCTATTGTCACAGAGTCAATTCCAACTTCTAGGGACCCCATAGGACAGAATACAACTGACCCATAGGGTTTCCAAGGCTCTAATCTTTATAGACACATGCTGCCACATCTTTCTCCTGTGGTGCGGCTGGTAGGTTTGAACCACTGGCCTTTTTAGTTAGCAGCCAAGCACTTAACCACTGTACCACCAGGGCTCCTACTGGTCTCCGTAAATACCATAAAATTGATATAGACCAGGCATTTAAGAGGCGGACAACTATTGAAGACTTCATGGTGGAGTTGCATTTGAGGATGCCTTTAAGGATAGATGCTGTTACTGTTAGCTACCATGGAGTCGGCCTCTGGCTCATGGTGACCCCATGCACAGTGGAACGAAATGCTGCCTGGTCCTGCACCGTCCTCATGATGGGTTGTGAATTGGACCATTATGATCATAGTTTTCATTGGCTGATTTTCAGAAGTAGGTTGACAGGCCTTTCTCCCTGGTTCATCTAAGTCCGAAAGCTCCACTGAAACCTGTTAAGGATCATAGCAACACATAAACCACCGCTGACAGAAGGGTGGTGGCTGTACATAAGGTGAATTGGCTGAGAATCGAACCTGAGTCTCTTGCATGGAAGGCGAGAATTCTACCACTGGACCACCACTGCCCCCATTTTAAGAATGGATAGAATTTATTAAAGGATTGGGCAGAAAACTAAATAGTGAAAAGCTGGGAAAAGTTAAGGTATATTTGGGAAATAGTCCCCAGTAGCTACTTGGCAAGCTTTCACATAAGTTTTGCAATGTGAAATACAGTGTTCATAAGAAAAGCTAAGGAATGAGAATTGAACTGAGTGGATCCTTAATGTGCAGCTGAGATGCCTATTAAAAATATTTCAGTACTGGGTCTGATCAATACATCTATAATAGGGCTTAAGAATTTGCGTTTTTGGCAAACATCAGAGACTGTTGATTCAAATTGACCATGTATCACATTGAAACAGAATGATAAAATCCTTTTTTTGGATATTAGTTTTAAAGTTCACCAGGCATCAACATGAAATATTCACATTATGCCTAGCCATCTTAGTGCAATAAAATGATGGAGGTGATTGGAATGCTAAAAGTAGAGATAGTTTAGTGAAGCATTGTATTGACCTTATTGTGTTATAAATCAAGAAGGAGTTCTGGACTTAGAGTTACAATATCTGCATTTGGGGCCTGGCTCCAGCACTAGATGTGAAAACAAATTGCTTAATCTTTCTGGATTCCTAGTTTTCATATCTGAGAAGTAGAAATAGTATCTTCCCCACCTATATCACAGGGTTGTTGGGAGGATCAGATGAGACAGCATTTGGAAAACTATAAACACTACACAAATGTAAGTACTTTGTGGGGAAGCCAGCACAGCTTGTACAAGGAAAGGTCATGGAAGCTCCATAGATATATCCAAACTCCCTGAGGGACCAAATTGCTGGGTGGAGGGCTGTGGGGACCATGGTCTCAGGGAACGTCTAGCTCAATTGGCACAATGTAGTTTATAAAGAAAATGTTCTACATTCTACCTTGGTGAGTAGCATCTGTGGTCTTAAAAGCCTGTGAGCAGCCATCTAAGATACTCCACTGGTCTCACCCCTTTGGGAGCAAGGGAGAATGAAGAAAACAAGATACAAGGGAAAGATTAGTCCAAAGGACTAAGGGACCACAACTGCCATGGCCTCCACCAGACTGAGTCCAGTATAACTAGATGGTGCCTGGCTACCATCACTGACTGCTCTGACAGGGATCACAACAGAGGGTCACAGACAGAGCTGAAGAAAAATGTAGAACAAAATTCTAACAAAAAAAGACCAGACTTACTGGCCTGACAGACTGGAGAAACCCTGAGAGTATGGCCCCCAGATACCCTTTTAGCTCAGTAATAATGTCACTCCCGAGGTTCACCCTTTAGCCAAAGATTAGACAGCCCCATAAAACAAAATGAGAGTAATGGGACACAACAGCCCAGGGACAAGGACAAGGAGGGGATAAGAAAGCTGGTAATATGGAACCCAAGGTTGAGAAGGGAGAGTGTTGATATGTTGTGGGGTTGTTAACCAATGTCATAAAAACAATATATGTACTAATTGTTTAATGAGAAACTGTTCTATAAACCTTCATCTAAAGTACAATAAAAAAAGAAAAAAAAAAGAAATATAAGTACTTTGTATTACTTGCCTAACAGTGCCCAACACACAGTGGGCGTTCACATATTGTAGATCCCTAACATATATTTATTCAGTAAATAGGTTTCAGTGCCTATTATAGATAGGCACTGGAGTACAGCAGTGAACAAATCCCTGCCCTCATGGAGTTTATATTGTAGTGGAATATGTCCTGAGACTATCTTGAATCCCCTCATAATATGCAGGAAAATATGCTATGTATACAATGATGAGAGGACTGCAAGCCCCATTGGATTAAGGATGTGAAGTTGAAGAGGCATAAGTTTGTAAATTTGGTAGTCATCAACATACAGATGATTTTTAAGGATATAAGTTTGGAGGTTTAAGGGCAATATTCATACCTTTTTTTCTTGACCAAGTTCAAAGCCAGTTAAAGTAGAAAGAGATCAAAATATTAGCTTAATTGCTATTAAGTTGAAATGGATATCATGGTTCACATTCATGGCCATACAATACAAACTATCCCTCCTCCACTGAACTTAATCCTGTGGTCATAGACCTCATTTACATTGGACAAATCTGTTGAAAAAGACCTCTTTAAAGTGTTAAAGAGCAAAGATGTCTTCTTGAAGACTAAGGTGCGCCTGACCCAAGCCATGGTGTTTTCAATCTCCTCATATGCATGTGAAAACTGGACAATGAATAAGGAAGACCAAAGAAGAACTGATGCCTTTGAATTATGGTGTTGGCGAAGAATATTGAATATACCATGGACTGCCAGAAGAATGAACAAATCTATTTTGGAAGAAGTACAGACAGAATGCTCC